ACTGGACGCTGAGGCTCCGCCGCGGACCCGCGCACGCGCCCGGCCGCTCCTATTGATCTCGACGGAACCTCATCGGGAGGTGTAACGCAATCGCGAGCACCGCCGTCTCTTAAGGTCAATGACACATCGGGCTCCTCTATCTCTCTCTCTCTCTCTCTCTCTCTCTCTCTCTCTATCTATCTTACTCTCCCTTGGCACGTTTCTTAGAGTAGTACTGCATCCGCGTGCCGCGAGGCTACGGTTGCGACGCACCTGCAAGCCCGAACCCCCATTCGGAGGCTCGCAACCGCGGCGAACGCACTCGTTGGATTTTCAGCTGGGAGGGATCTTTCGACGAGACCCCTTTTATCGGTTAGCTGACGACGACTCGTGCGACTGCGAGCCCGGACATACCGGTTATTGTTTATGGGGAGGCCTGCCTTCCCGTATCCTATCCCCCTCTCCCACCGATCTATGGCGTACTCCGACGCTTCTCCTCGTGACGCTTCGAGGACAAACTTCCTCCATTATCATTTATTGTCTGTTTTCGACTTCTGTTCGTTCGTCCATTAGTTCATTCGCCTTTTAATCTATTTACTCGAGTGCGCGACCCAGCCATGATTCTCGAGATTGCAGGGATCTGATTGACCGACGTTCTTTCTTTCGGCTGAAAGGTCGTGAGAGACTCAAGTTGGCTTTCACGAGACGCGCGCAAGGCCTTTCGTTCCGTTAATTTACCAGCAATGTTAAATAATTGTCTTTATTATGTAGTCAGTTTGCGCGCGAACGAATGTTCGGTAGCATCGGTAATGCAGGAAAATAATAATGATAGAGGATCATTGAATATTTCTTGGCGTCGTTTGCGCGACAATGGGCTTTTTTAGACGTCAACTCACGACGCAAATCGCCAGATCGAGAGTTTTATAATATTATATCCTTATTTTGTGTTGCGCTGCTTAGTCCTCCGATTTTCTTCCTCGATGCAGCACCTATAAATTGTTTTAGTGTTTTTGTTATCCAAGACACGAGAATACGCAGGCACGATATTTTCATCGATGCCGGCAAAATCATTTTCCAACTTTGCTTTATAATGTCAAGGTTCCGTCATGCGATTCGCTTGAAACGTGTAAAAGACATAATTAAAGTGTTGCTCTGTATGTAATGTTGCAGTATAAATAGTAATTCAGAGAGTGCGTATTTAGCGTCAATTAAGAGGCTCGGACAGTTTACGAAGTTTTAAAATAATTGCAAGCGTATACACTACCGTAATCTCAAGCATTGTAAATTCAGAAATAAACGAAAAATGCGAGAAGCTCGTAATTTTCCGAAGGAGGAAATACAACCCTGTCAAGACATAAAGCCATAAATAATAAAATCCATGATAAAAATAAGGCTTGAGCTCATAAAAAGATGAAGGAGACGAAGCGTCGAAGTATCCAATATGGCACCTGTTTTGTATTTTTCAGTAGGCACTAATCATCCTAGCAAAAGGGAATCATCTTTGTATTGTCGTGGGCCCATTGTGCCTTAGCCCAGCTATCCCCCGAGGCGCTCTTTTGTATTCTATCAAGCAGGTTCTAGGAGAAAGAGTCAAGCTAGTTAGGTTCGAAATAATTTTTGTACCTGCTCGGGCATTGGAGAAAAGCGTCAGCCTTATCGGACTACGACAATGCCTTTCCGCTCGTAGGAAGGACGGCGTTAAGATTGCTTTTATTTCAGAATAATTTATACCCATGAAATTATTTATAGCTTTGTATATTTTCGAGTATTTTTGTATTTTCGACTATTTTTGCCTTTTTGTATTTTTGTATTTTTGCAAGACTCTTTTTATTTCCCTACTCTTTCATCATTGTGCATCTCAATTGCTGTTTATGGAAAACTGCTTACATTAAGAATCACACGTTAACTTACATAAAGTTATTATTCGGAGTATTTCAAAGTTTACATTAAGCTTCTATTAATATCGTAACACTTTCGATACTTATGAAAGCCTCGATAAGATTCATTATATTAAACTAATAAATATAATATTGGAAACAAGCTTTCATTTTAAAATTTATTAACGCACTTATTTTACTTCTAGATAATTGATAATAGAAATGGGCACTATTATATTGATTGTAAAAGAAAAATTACTTAAACGAAAAACTAAAGCTATCAATTTCTTATTTTATTTCTTATTGTTCGGTACTTGATTATTTATGGATACATTTACTTTAAAATTCCTTTTAAAAAATTTTATATTCAACTTCTTTTGTTCTCGTTTCATTTATAAATTTTGCTCTTCATCAAACTCACGTATAAATTAAATTTTAAGCAACATTACATAAATGAGTAAATCTTCATTATTTTATTATTAACCAGAGAAATTACATATCATAAGAATTATAAATAAAATACTAGAATCCTAAATAGAATATTATCATTTTAAATGCTTATTTACGGTGCTGCCTGTACTGCAAAATTGCACATATAAATATAATGGTTAATGATTTGTTCGATAAATTTAAGTATCGTTGTCGATTAGCAAGATTGTGAAAATTCCCCAATCTTTAGCCAATAAATTCGCTGTTAATGTGTTTGTAAATGTCTCAAAACCTCCAAGATAACGGAAACGATTAACGACTCGAAAAAAAAAAAACATTTCATCAATTGAAACTTTCGCAAATTAGTAATGTTCTAGGTGTTTGTGAAAAGGCTTTCATTTTTCGCTGTATGGCTTTGTGCCTTAAGAATTTTCAAGAATTAACAAGTGATAAAGATTTAAGAGAGCAAGAAAGCGGAAATCGGCACATTTTAAGAATTTTGATTTTGCATAATGATAATGGCCGCTAATGATACTATACGATTGTATAAAAATCGATATTTTAAATGTATATTTTCCGTAAGACTTATCAATTGTTGTAAATACAAAGGATATATATATATATATATATATATATATATATATAGAGAGAGAGAGAGAGAGAGAGAGAGAGAGAGAGAGAGAGAGAGAGAAGAGAGAGAAGAGAGAAGAGAAATATATTTAAAATTAAACTTTGCTCGATTATAACATATATTTTTAATTATTTGTTAATAAAACGACAAGGTTATTTACACGTCAGTTACACATATGCATTTATGCTTAGACGATCGGTACAATTATATTGTAATTATATTGTTATTTATTATTCGGTCAAACCCCATTTTTTTTTTTTTTTTTTTTTCATTTGTATTATCGTTTTGTGGTACTAAATAGATTTTCATGAATACCATCGACTCAAGTTATTTCGTAATATGTAGTTTTGCAAATTAGACTTGAAAGCTTTATCGTCGATATAATACTTTTCATAATAATTATGATAAGATTCATTTATTTTGTTTTGCTATCAGTGAAAAATTATGATGGGCTCAAGATCGATACGACAAGTATAAATTATATATTATGCTCATTGTTATACTGAACCATGAATTACAAAAGCGCACAAGAGTTTTTAGTATATATTTTACATTCGGCAATAATAACTTTAACAAAATTGTTGTATGTAATGGCTATTGTCAAATAAAAACTAATAGTTCTGGCGCAGTCAAGAATTTCTTATTGTAATTTGAAAGAATTAAACAAAATAAAGCAACAACAAAAACAAAACAAAAAAATAAATAATAAAATCATTAAAAACCCGTAGTTTCATTAATTTATGAAACAATTAGCTTTTCTGCAATGATTCTGTATTGTCTGTAATAATCCGGTTTTAAATTGTACATTATCGCATGATATTACGTACAAATTTTTCTGCACATTTCCGCGCATTCAATATTAATAATTATATACCTTTGCTTCTTATTGAACAGTCTCATCAATAATGCGAATAAAATAAATATGATGAAAAATTATAATTTTTAGGTAAGCTATGATTGTTTGGGATTAGTTGATAATGAAAGTAAGGCGAGATAATTTTCATTAGGTGCTCGACGAGATATGAATATTTCGTTCTTATGACCATTGTCATGATATAATATAATTACACATTTAAATAATATCTTTCATTAGAATTTGCATCATTGATTCGACTATACGTAAGTGCATATATTTTTGACTATTCTTCTCCCTATTATTATTCCTAAGTTTTCCTTGTCATTGTCATTCTTATTATTATAATGGAGTTTTAACGAAATGAATTTTTTTTATAATAATGTTCATGGAGCTCTTCATTGAACGTGTATGGAACATCATGTATTATTTTAATAAACGTCAAATAATTAATTTGCCGTGCATGAATCCTTAATTTTTAAGTATTATCTAAGAACTTTAATAATTGTAGTTTATTCGTTATTCTAGAAGCAATCTTATAGATATGTCGTTGAATTATTTTTGTTTTACATGCACACACAGTCAATGGCGATCCTTCATTTAAAAAAATAATTTCACATCTAAACACTTTGACAGAAAAATAAAAAAAAAATAAGAAAAAATACAAATATTATTTGGTCGAGTTTTGTAATCGTTTTTGCTCCTTGAATTTCAAGAGTAAAATTTCGTCGCCTGTAGAACGAAAAAGGACACCCTCGTCCAATCCCCAACACTCACTCCCCATTTATTCGACAAGAAATTCAGGTAATATACCACAATAAAGGTGATATATTGTTGATAAGTGTAATATCGTTACACTCTATCCCAAGTAATAGCTTATATTTATATTATAGTATTCGACTTTTGAGGCCATTGGGAAGGACGACATTATTGCATTATTGCATTTTTCCGAAAACATTGGAATTGTAAAACAAAAAAATTGAAGGTTTGTACGGATGGTGGTGCATTAGCTCTCCACCGTTAGCATAAAATGACGGCTTGAGTGTGAGTCTAAGTTGGTGGGGGAGGAGGAGGAGGAGGAGGGGGGGGGGGAAATATAGGATGAGGCTCGTTAAAAAAAGTGAGACGAAGAGAGAAGACGAGAACCATCGGGTGAAAATGAGGATGAGGAAGATTGCGGGAAAATATTAGCGGAGGATCGCGATGCCTTCAGCGGCCAGTTTTCTCCTACCTGTCGGTCTGCTGCACGAATGCACTATGAGCGTCCCTGCCACTCGTATCCTGTCAGGAGCGTCGACGAGGACAGCGTTGTCCTCCAGCTCGACGCCATGCGTCTTAGCGTTCCCCGTCCAGGGTGCGAATGTCGTCGAGGAGCCGACCTCCGTGGAGCACGCACTCGCTTTACCACGCACTGGCCTCACGTACGCGAGGATGATGGTGGTGGTGGTGGTGGTGGTGGTGGTGGTGGTGGTGGTGGTGGTGGTGGTAATGTGGTGACGGTGGCGGTGACGGTGGCAGTGGCGGGGGCGGTGGCGGTGGCGGTGGCGGTGGCGGTGGCGGTGGCGGCGGCGGCGGCGGCGGCTGCACCTACGGTCAGTGGCACAAAATGGCGTCGACGGCTGAGTTCCCCCCTCCCCCCCCCCACTCTCTTTGGCTGCGTGAGCGACGAGTAGGTGCGCGCGCGCGGGACTCCGCGGAGAATCACTTGGGCTACGGCGGAGGCGCTCCAACTGCGCGCGAGCCTACGAGAAGGTGAGCTAGAGGCAGTGCGGAACCGCCTGCGCGTAGGCGCGAGGGGTTCGAAGGATTCGCGGAAGTGGGGTAAGGGGACGGGGATGGGGCGGCGGAGGGGGAGGTAGCGAGCGAGGCTGGAGAGTGGTCGCCGGCTGCAACGTTTTTCGCCGCTGAGACTTTGCGACTGCGATTTTGGTCCTGGCAAGTGCTGCTGCTGTTTGACAAAATCGAGTGATCTTCAACTGTAATAGAGCCAAGACATTTATTGAACTTGGCGACTCGACGAGACGCATCATGTAAGGCTCGAGGTAACTGGCTTCGCCGCGTTGGATATTTTGACTCGCAAAGCTACTTTGGACGCACCATGAACATTCATGGGCGTATTGGCGAGACAAATCGTCGTGTCTCTTCGGGTGGGTGGTTGGGGGTGCGAATGTATAGCTCGACAGATGTAAATACTTTGAGAAAAAAGAACTCCCGACGAATACGTTAATTTTTCAAATTTCTCGTTACGTACACATGCAGGCTTGCTTACGTACACGCGCCGCGCACACACACGGGCGCGCATAGCATAGCAACGCTTTCGTAAAGCTAATATTTGGCATTTTAATGATATAATGCTAGACGAAGATTCATAAATTTCAGTAAACCAAGGATTTTACTCGAATGGATAAGTATCGATTGATTATTGTAATTAATACGTCGTTTGTTTGATCAATATTGGCGGAAATAAATAACTTAGAAATATTATTATTATTATTAAATATTCCAAGGGCTTTTTAAGAGTGAATTTCACAGTGCTGAATTGCACTCGTAAGTTAATTCATGGAAAACAATTGAAAATAAATATAAGAAAATGAATTTTAGAGGATTTAGTGGCTAAATGGTCACCAGAAATTCTAATAATGTAAATTTTTTTTTTAATTTATTGAAATAAATTTTCCTACCTTTTGATATAATTAATGTTCATTGATTCTTATCATGTATTTAATATATTTTTGTTGGCAGTAAACGTTAATTAAATTTTTTCCTCGAATTTTTCCTAATGCTTTTATTGGATGAAACGTATGATATTTATTAAGTTACTCTCAAGTATGGTAAATAAACCGAATAAACGTTTCTTTTTTTTAAATATATTTTTTATTTTAGTGAAAAGTATGTTGAGATGGAGAATAATGATAAGCAGTATCTCGTGATTGAAATCTTATTATTAATTAATAACGAAAAATATTTATTATTAATTGCCAAATGTAGTTGGTATTGGTTTTCATTGAAATTTTAATCGATAAAATATTTTTTACAGACTACTTAATTATATTTTAGCTTGTTTATTTTTAATACTTTATAATTGTAAATTGAAAAGAAAATTATAATCAAACGATTTCAGATACAATATATGTAAATAATCAAATACTTGTAAATCATTATAAAATTGTTTAATTAGTCAAAGTATTTTCTTTTATGTTGAAATTATCTCCTATAACGTTGTGTTAATTTTAATTGTCAAGTACGAAAGAAAATCTTATAATTCCATAATTCCATTTGAAAATAATACCATAAATTTAAAAACTAGTACTAACATAATTTTAAATTTTTGTTTAACAGATATATTTATTTATTTATTTATATTTATGTATGAATATTTTGTTTAAAATTCATAATAAAATATTATTAACTAAAGTAATTTACTTATTTATTAACGACGTATATTTACAGTAATAGATTTTCTTTGAGATAAAATTTAAGATAAAAAAAACACGATGATAAAATGTGGTCAACATTTAGTCAAAGTATTTTCATAATAGTAGATAAATATGGAACTCCTGTCAATTGGCAAAGGAACCGAGAGAACATTCGGTATGCTAATAAAGGTTGATTATTAATAAACTCAACCGCGACCGGTTTAGTCAAAGAATCGCACATTCGCCGAAATTTGATTTCTTTTTTCACTCAATCAGTCGACTATAAAAGCCGATTTAATAATGACTTTTATAATTCAAAGTGATATCACATTAATTGCGGATTTCTATTTGGAATTGATGGAGAGGAAGCAGAGTAATTTGAATAATATTTATTGTTGGGGTGTCGACACATAATGTACTTTAATGTTTAAAGCGAGACGTTTAGTCATTAGATAATTAGGAATAGGCAACTGATCATTATTGTTAAATAGATTTTTATGTTTAAACTATGTTCTACTACCGAGTCTGAATACACATTTCAATGTTCTTTATCGATAATTTTTGAGTGGAGTATAATTTTTACGCTCTGCATAAGTAATATTTATTAGGGGTACGAGATAATGGAAAAGCAATTGTATTTCGCAGCAAACTGTGAGCTTATTGAATTACGATTGTATTAATGTTGCCGAATGTAAGAATTTAGATTTTTCAATGGCTTGCGGTAAAAGGGGACAAATATATTTCGATTTTATTACATTTGATAAATGGAAATAGGAAATGAATTTTACGGCTTATAGAAGTATTTTTCCCAGTACGAATGAAGCTTCCAGTTCCAAAAAAACGACGAGACATCCTTTTGATTTATCATAATTTGCAAAGGGAAGACGTAGATAGATTCGGCATCGTATCCCCTTTTCTTTTATCATCATTTGTTATTCTTGTGTGGTCTTGTAACGTTGCGCGTTGTGCCATGGTATGTGTCTATATAAGAGATTCATAGATAAATTTTTATTTTTTTCTACAGATCTGATTGAGTTGTATTGGAATTGAATTATACGTTGAATCGTAAAATTCCATGTATCCTATATTCTAATTATCCATTATCAATCTTTTTTTTATTTTTTTTTTTTATAATTATTGTTTTTTTTTTATTTTGACAATTCAGATCTTTCGGTTTAATAAATTTCACCTATATTTTATCTAAATTTTGTATTTCATTGTGTACTTCATTTTATTTTACTACTTTTAATACTCCCGATGTACCTTACACGCTAGATCGCATTTAGAAAAAAAAAAATAAAATGAAAATTAATAAAAAGTTTATGACGGAGCCAATTTTAGAACACTGTTGCATTTCAAATGAACAACACATTGTTGTAATTTATTATTTAAAGTGACACACGAAACCTACGATAAAGTAATACAGCTACTGTATTATTCAATATATTTTCTCTTTATATTTTCAGGTGATTAATTCAATCAATTTTAATCTAAGAACTTATATTAAAAATATAAATTAAAGAAATAATTTATTTTACAAATATACATTTTTAAAACGTGATTTTTAAAATAATTATACATCTATACACATATGTATTTTACATCAATTGCATAATCCAGTATATTACATATGTCATCGTGATACTCCAACTTACATATTCGTTTAATAAAATATTCAATTAACGCATTAATCTACTTACTTCTGTAATTTGATTCTTTAAATTATACTAATTTAATTTTATATTTATTTTAAGTATTTTGTAACAAATACTTTGTATTTAGGAATGAAAGTACATTGTTACACGAAGTTTCGTATAAAATTGTTTATAAAACACATGTAATTGGTAAAAATATGTAAAAATATGACAAGTGAAGTTATGTTTGATTCACTTATGTAGACTTAAGTTTTAATTTGGTTGGTGGAATTTTTTTTTTTTTTTTTTTTTTAAATTTCTATATATTTACAAATAAAGTTTTTACAAGATTTTCTAATATAATTTACAATTCATAAATTATAGTTGCAGTTGCAACATATCCAATACATCTTAGAATAATCTTTACATCATTGTGTCTCCATTACCGTTATTTTATCTTATTTTATTTACTAGCGAAATGTATTATCTTTTTATATGCGTATCTTTCATCTGAATTTTGTTACAATAAAGGATCTCGTAAATAGCATTTCCTTCTATTTTCAAAATCTTTTATAATATTATTAATTATAGGAAGCTTGTCGTTTTTCTTTTATAGGATAGTACGGCGATGAAATTTCTACGAAAGAATTTCCGTGTAACTTAAAGAACGTATTATTCATTTTGTAGATTAATAGCTAATGAAGATTAAATAAGTTCCTTTAAATTTCAAATTTAAGAAACGTAATGATAAGTTAATTATCAATATTAAGAACTTTCGTAAGTAAAATAGTGTGAAATAATGTAATTTAGTATTAATCCGTGGATTCTTAATTAGTAACTATTTCATTATAGTCTATTAAGAATGTTGATTAAAATAAATTTGTTTTTGTTTATATGCTATTATTAATTTCATCCCGTTCAATTCGTACAAAGTTAAAAAATGAATTATTATAGTATGAAAGTATTTCTACTAAACTTATCTAGACCTTTTATCATAACATATTTATTGATCTTTTATCATTCAATATTTATTAACTTGGTAAATCTTGTTAGCGTTGACATAATTTAAAATTAAATAATATTGTATAAAAATGATAATTTAACTCTCAAAAAGAATAACAATTGAAATAAAATGACAATGCACGTCGCTTGTATCAGCGAAAGAGAAGTAAATCGTCATTCTCCCTTTGACGACTCATCTCTCTTTTATATATATTTGTCTTCCCGAACTGTACAAGGGGCCGAAAGCACCTCAGTTCCATTATGCTTGAGAGGGTACCTTTATCCCTTAACTTTCTCTCTGCCGCCTTTCACTTCCTTCGCTTCTTCTTTCGTCGTATGCTTTCTTACCGCTCGATCCCTACCCCTTCATGACGTCATTGACCGATAGAAAAGCATCCCTTTCTACAAGCATGCGCACCCTGCAACTTACCAAACTTTTACCACTTTTTCCTAGGATAAGAGTGGCAGAAGAGGGGTGAATAAGAGTAAGATTTTTTCTTCTGAGTGATTATACAGTTGCCGCTAACTTTGAAAACGTCGTTTCACGTTACAATTGCAATATTATTCAGATATAGTATTAAAATTATAAAGGTCTTTGGATATTTGAAATACATTTTTTGTAACAAATACATTTTAAACGTAATTGATGATGAGTTCTTATCGATGGAAAATAAGGTTGTGAAAATTTCTAAGAAATTTGTAAAATTATTCGGCATTTTATAAGTTTCTTTTTAATGTCATTCAAGCCGGTAATTTCACACTTTTCCAAATTAATAAAGTGCTTGAATTATTTATAAGTTTTACTAATTTTTTAATTGTAGGGTTCATTTTATAGCATTATATTAAATAATTAAATAGAAAACGTAAAAAAAGTAGCTTAAAATATAGTTAAACTTTTTCGTGTGACTCAATTTTTCTTGATTTAAGTCAAATGTTAGTACACCGAGTGCTCATTTTTCCATTTTCATATCAAAATCATTTTTGAATAGTATAATCAATATTTCAAATTTTTTATTATTTATCTTCTTAAATTTCAATAATTTAAATCACTTTGCTATGATAAACTTAATGATAAAATTATCGATATTAATATATTAAAAATATATTTTTAACTATATAGCTGGTTATAGTAATGCAAGCGATATATGTTTTATAGAATATTTACACTATACTCATTAATATTTGTAAATTATAAAACGGATATTACATTCGAATATTAGAAGTATTATAAAAGTATTACACATACTTCTAACGTATATGTAAAAAATATATATGGTAATCTTTATTTATAACGAGTACTCGCACTTAAATTCTTATTGCAAATAACCCAAGGAAGACTTAATCAATGAGAATATGTAAATTAATGAAAAATTAGCGTTTTAAAAATAATCTGAAATAAATATATACGTCAATATATTAAACTTGACATTTATAAAGCGAAAGATAGAGAATAAAGCAATCTAGGCATCAAACTATATATAAATTGCTTATACAGGCTAGGTTTGTAAGTGCTCGTATCAAGTAATTTTAGTGACCTTCCAACCCCTGTATAACAGCTTTATCACATATACTGTTGTCTCTTTTATATAATTGGCGATTCGCCAGTGAGCTACGGAGTTCGTTTCTCCAAAATCTTGGTAGGGGAAAGGTTGGGTGCCGCATCCTGTCGTCATATCCTTCCTTATATATATATATATATATATATATATATATATATAGTGTAATGTATAAATGTATATTGAGAATGAAATTGCAAATATACTCTGCACAAGCACGTTGTGAATTTTATCTTCCGCATCTATGGATCGTTACGTACGGTGTTGTGGAGTTTTTTTTTTTATAAAGGGGATGATTATAATCAATATTAGTTATTATTTTTGCGTACTACTTTAAATTACTAAATTGAAATTTTAATCGTTACACAGATTATTAAATTTTTTAAACATAACAAGCAGAAAAATTGATATCGATTATTCAATTAAAATAGTGATTAAAAAAAAATTATTTAAAATCTGTTTAAACTATTAATCCTAAATCGTTATGAAAATAAAATTTTATATTTTAATATTACATTTCTAATTTGCGAAACTTATTTGTTTTTATTATTTTTGTAAAATTTTCAAAATAATTCTTTGAAAACTTATGTTAAACGAGTAAATAAATGTAACTAACGTAATGTTTATACGATCTTCAAAATCTTTGTCAACAATTTTGCTTTCGGTTATCTCCCAATAAAATAGTATGAATCTTTTATCTCTTCCTAGAGTAATTAATATTTTTAATCTTTAATACAGAGGAATTAGAACAAACAAGAAAAGAGAAAAAAGAAAAATGAAAAACGAAAAAAAAGAAAATCCTTGCTACAAAAATAAAATAATATATAAATATATAAATATATAAAGTATGTTCTATTTGTTATTAATGAAAAAAGTATTAATACTTAGATGAACATATTTTAAATAATATTAATCTGGTTACATTACATTGGATATTGAAAAAAGAAAAATAATATAAATTATGATATTTTTAATGACAAATTATTAAAAATTATGACTAAAAATCATGGAATAACGTTAACAAAACTGGAGGATTAGAGATTTTTTAACTTTTTGAATTCAATTTATAATTGACTATGTATATAATATATAATATGGACAAGCTATGATAATAGGTAACTATAAATATGTAAAAATAACAGATTAACAAATTTCAACTTGATACATCTCAAATTATTTAAATTTTTAATTATAAATATTATTAATTTTTTCTAATTTAATTGATGTAATTATTAAATTAGTTTCTTAATTATTCATTAATATAATAGTTGAGATGGTTGTATTCCAATCGATGATATTTATATTATTATATTTATATTATATTATTTAAATTAAGAAAATTTTTACTGCTTTACTATGAATTAATATACAATTATTTTTTACTAAAAAATTTTTTTCATTTTTCAAAAAGCAAATAATTATTTACATATTGTATTTTGGGCATACGATTAAGTTGTTTTATTCATTAATTTGTACTATATTTAATATTTTAAACTCATATAAAAACATAATTATTAAGTATTTCCTTTGAATTAATAAGTTTTTAACTATTTTAATAAATGAAAAAATGAATTACCTTCAATTGCGCATGTTTTTTTTTTATACTGAAGTAAAAATATTCTGTGAATATTAATTTGAAATATCTTTTTTATCAGTAAATGATATGTTTTATTTAATCACGCGATTTACAAATGTAGTATAAATTAATAATAAAACAGTAATATAAAATAGTAACTTAATACTATATTATACAAATTCTTAATTTATTAATATATTATATAATATATAATTAATATTATTATATAATAATGCATTAATATTTAATAATATATATTAATATATAAGCAAATTTTAACATATTAGCATTTTATAAATCATACAATCATTATTATGAATAATACGATCAGTATTTATTAGTTTAATAAAATTAACAATACTGTATTTTCTGTTGATTTAGAAAAAAATAAAGTAGGAGTTAAAAAACGTGATTTATTTATTGAAGTTTATAATAACGTTTATTTGATAAGTCATAAGGAACATATCAAATATACATTAGATAATGTACTTTTCAATTAATGAGCTTTAATTCAATTTTTATGAAATTGATTTTTATATACTAATTTTTCAACAATGAAAAATATTAGTAAAAAAATATTATACATATGATTATTTAATATAAGAAAATTGATTTTTATCAAATTTTCGAATTCTATTAACATTATTTTATTACTATTGGTTACCAAAAATGTATGTATAACATATAATACATTATTATATATAATTTACAATTGGTATAAACTTTATTTTTTTTTTGTTTATATTATATTTATTTTGTATTTTTATTAAAAGTGTTATAAAACATTGGAAAAATACGTATTACTTCAATTTACGTAAAGTGTTAATTAAATACTATGTTTGTTATATATATATATATATATATATATATGTAACAATGTCGATAATAATTACATTTAATGCATATAAAACTATTTATTAGGCTATTAGATAATTGTTTTGGAAAATATAATTATAAATAAAAAATATTGCTTGTTATATTAAAGTAAAAAAAGGAATGTATTAACATATATTTAGATAAAAGTTTTTATTTTTTCCTATATACTTATTAATTTTGTTCGTATATAATAAATAATTATTTCAACAGATATTTTAATATACCATTTAAAAATATTCGCTATAATGTATTTATAATTTATATTAAATTAGCTTTAGTATTAATTGTCTGACGTTTATATTGTTTGTAGGATAATGTATTAACATATTAAAAATGAATTTGTAAACTGTAATTAATATTTAAATAATAATTGTACTGTCAATTGATTATATTGAAATCATTTAATCTTGTGTAAGACAGAAAAATAATAATACAGCGTCATCTTGCGGCAATTAATTTTATTAAACTTAATTCTTCTTTATCGACAGTTTTTAGTGACTAGAAAAATAGATTGGCAAAGCTATTTATTGCTTCTTATAGATGTTCTATTTATATTAAAATAATGTATGATTTTACTAAAAATATATTATTTTAAAGCCGGTTAATGGCACTGTTTTTCTTTTTACTTTATTTTTTGTTTTTTTTTTTTGCTTTTGGTCATATATATATATATATTCATTGCTGGTATATTTTCCTGAAAGATCACTATTACGGAAGCTTATAGACTTTTATAATCTTTAATTACATTTTCAATCTTTGCAAATGCTTCTAAAAAATCATCCTCTTCTAAACCAAATTTCTTGTATTGATGTAGAAAAGCAGAATGAGTATAGAGATTCCAAGCTTTATCAACTATACCGTCTAGAGTTTGATGAATTTGTGAGTTATTTGTAACAAGCGTTAAAAATTTGTCTTGATTCAAAAGTCTACGTTCTTGGTTTAAGTAAGTCAATTGATCAGAAGACGAATTCCAATTAACGTATAAATTTTTACTCCGCAAATCATCGCAAGTCATCATATCATTTTCAGTGATGTTACCACGAGACAAGAGCATGTTTGATATTGATTTATAATATAAATGATTCGCTTTTGAGTTCAAGAAATTTGATGGTGGTTTTGCTTCTGTATCTGTTAATACAGAAATTTGTAGCATTTGCTTTAAATGGTCTATATACGTTCTCCAACTGTAAAACGATTCATACTGACTTATCGAAGGTGAGATATACGGTGTACTTTTAATGGTTGCGAGTTTATAACTGGGATGACAGGCGATAGTCGAAGTTAAAAAATTAACGCCACACCAAGATTGGTGCACAGGTTGGAAGAGGGAACATAATTTCTTCGATATAACGTCATTAATATTAATTAATTTTGTTTCAACATTTTTCAAGATATTAGTACATATTGTATGAATTTGCTCATTTTGAATCAAAAGATTCAAATCTATTGATTCGGTAAATCTTGCTAGCGTTAGCATGGTATTATAATTTTGAACGCTAATTTCACCAGATGCATACGGTAATACAATCGAGGCTACAATACTTTTATTTGGGAACTCATTGCGTAATAATTCAGCGGTAAAGCTACCGACTCCTGATCCTGTTCCACCAGCCGAACTAAGTAATAGCAAGATCCCATTAAAACAATCGGTTTTTTCTATTTCTCTTCTTGTTATATCTAAAATTTCATCTTTAAGCTGAGGTCCTTTAATTAATGAACCATAGGCCCAATTGTTAGCAGAACCACCTCCAGCTTGACAAATTAAATTTTGCGAACGATAAGTCCAACAATTTGATGATTTGCTACATACTTTATTAACAACCTTATGTTCGGTATCGACTAAAATTGCCCTTGCTAAACGTTTTCCATCTTTGTTTAAACTTGTAAACCAGTTTTCAAAACTCTCTTCGATGTATGCACTGTTTGCTTGCTTCGAAATACCTGTATCTGTACTATCTAGATCATTAGATACGTGTTGAAATAACGAGTGTCCTATTTGATTTCCACATTGCCCAAATTGAATTGTGAGCATACCTTCACTTTGAATAAAAGGCGATATTTATGTACCCGAGAAAACTCCATATAGTTCTGTAAATGAATAAAATATTAGGTAAGAGAATATTTTTAAATGTATGGGTTATTAAATTATAAAACTGAAATTTGATAGTCGAACGTTTTTAATCGACATTTTATAGTTTCCAATATAAATTGCTTTTTTATTTTTACTTTTGCTTATTAAAAAGTGTTCATATGGAAAATATTTCTTGACTATATTGTATACGTATAATTGAATGTATAAGTAGTCTATAAAATCAATCCAAATTAATAAATATTCTTAAAAGCTATAGAATACTAAAATAATCTTTAAACGCACACTCACACGCGCATACAAATATATATTTATTTATATATAATTTTGTAATTAAACTTATGTTTAATATGATTCTAAATTTTTATATGCTCAATACAATTACACAAATAAGCTACATTTTAACTAAATATTTCAAAATTGTATTAAAGCTTACTCAAATTTAAATTATACACGTTTTAATGTTAAGATACAATATGTACTTTTTAATTTTTGTAATTTGACAAGACATTTGCCTAAAACAAGGAGAGAAAATTACTTTTAAAATTTAACATGGCCAAATCTAATATACTTACTGTGTAAAGCAGGTAAAATTTCTATTACAAAGGTATTATTAAAAATATATTTGTATGTTTTTTCCCAGAATATCTCTTTATTTTCAGATGGTGAAATTAGCACAGTCATATGATTGTTTCAACAGTATATCTCTCATCAATTGGAATAAAAAATATTTAAATTTACTTTAAGGCTATCTTTCCAAAATAGGTTATATTTTTCTAAAAGTCCAACTTGGATGAATGTCCTTTCACTTTTTGCAACTGAGATGGTTATGAAATTGGCGGGGCAAAGGAAGATTAAATAATTTTCATGGCGTAAAATGATGTACGAATAGAATTTAAATTAATGTACGGATTATGAGACGAGATGAAAAACAAAAGAGAGATGAAATCGTGATCGACATGAGATTATATCTAATACAAGAATATTTTCAATTAAATAGATTACTTATTTAATACTACTATTAACTAATAATTCAATATTACTATTTATTTCTATTTATTTCTTTAGTAACAATCTAAAATTTTCTCTTTAATAAATTGAAACCTTTAATTTTTATTTGTTAAATAATTACACTTAAATCTAATATTAATAATATTATTTATGCGTTGGATTAAAGTATACGAACAATTGAATTTTGGTATAATGTAGAGTAAGTAAGTTTGCTTATTTGTCAATTTGTTTACAGTGTGTTTACATTTTTCATGACCATATAACAATGGGTATTCTCAATATGCCTCCTTTTCTCAGACGGATTTGCAGCCTGAAATATGAGGAGTAATGAATCCATTAAGTTATTCGTTTATTAATACGAAGTAATTTATGACAATTTATGAACTATTATCCTTTTGGAGAATAATTTATTTGATATTATCAGAGTGTGAATATAGGATGGACTTTATGAGGGTACAAATTCCACAATCTATAGGTTTAATAGTATTAAAAGTCTCTAAACTATAGAATATTTGGCTAAACGAAATAATCTTATGGAAATAAATAAAAAAATTATATGTAGAATATTCCAATAGCGAGTATCGCTAATAAAAATGATAACTTTAGCAATATTGATATTATATTGGAGAACTTTTAATATCCAAGTACTTTCATTTCATGTCCAATTGTATTGTTTAGTATAATAAATGTATATTATGGTATGACATTTTATTTTATAAGTTACATATCTGTTTAAAAGTTATTTCTTTATGTATAAAATTGTTTATAGTATATTGTATTATATATATATATGATCTTTTATATATAATAATAATTGTTATTATTTTATATAAAATGCAAATTTGAAATGAAATTTACACAAAAACATAAATTATAATATAAATATACAATGGAAGAGGCATTATAATGTTACTAATATTAGTTTTGTTAAAAATTTTATTTCAAAATAAACCCAATTTGAATTCGTTATTATGCTATCTAACAAGTCTGGTTTGTACTTATAAAGTGATGTGCAGGAGCTCCGCCAATATATAGAAATTATTTAATTTTACGTATAGCTATTTGCTCACTTCGTTATAGTTTTATATTAATATTTATGTTGTAATAGATTTGTAAAGAAGGAAAGGACATAATAAATTTATGCACAGATTATTAACGTCTACGACGTTAAACATTTACAATGGCCATTTACGAATGCCAAAAAGTCATTTATGCATACGCTACTCTAAGAATTTTACTTTTTACTTATTGAATCTCGCTTAAGAACATTTATAAATTTCATTTTTAAGTAGATGTAGATGACTTACTTCACTACTTGCCTCTATTGTTGTTCGCGTCATTTTTAACACAATCATAAAAAGCAAACTCTTTTTAAATTATATTAAATTTCAATATAAGATTGAAATATTAAATTAATCGATTTAGGCTCATTTGAGACATATGATGATTAGGTAGATTTACTAATTATTACTGAAAATTACTGAAAACAAATGCAATAATAAATGACATATCTTTTGAAAGAAATAGGTATGTATTGGTACACGGAAGGCATATTGACATGATTTTGTCTAAAGCAGCTCGAGTGGAACGTCAGTAGCAATTATACAATTAATAACCTGAACCGCACAATAAAATATTTCCACCAGATATTACGATTATTCAAATATAGTAAATCTGAAGATGTAATATAAAAATATCTTAACTAATTATTAATTTAATTATTAATTTATGCTAACCTATACATTATTTTATCATTTAAAAAGAAAAAATAGTTGTTAAGTTCTGTAACTTAAATACTAATATACAACGGAAATATAATATTTCGTGAAATCCCTAACTAATTAAGTAACTTCAATAAGTTGTTTTCAAAATTGATTAGTGTATTGAAAACTATAAAATTATAATTATTTTATATTTAGTTAATTGTACGATTGTTAAATTGTAAAAAGTTGTTAAAAAGTTACGATTGTTTTTGAGAAATATTTTATAACCTATCAGTATAGTTTGGAAAGGTGAACAAATAATGGCAATTAAAAAGACTTGAATATATTTTAAGAAACTCTTTAAACGGATTGTTTAAAAATATTTTATAAAATATTTTCTATGTATAAAACATGTTCTTGTCTATTTACATTTTTTATTCATTTATAAAATTATATATATATATATATATATATATATATATATATAGATCTATTTGTTTGTGCTGTTGTTTTAATATATATATACTGTAAAAGATGTAGGGCAATTGTTTAAGTATAGGTGAAATAAATTTAATCAAGACTGAATTTTTAATTATTTATAATTATTATATACTTATATGGCCATTTAACAACCATTCACCAAACATTATTATATTTTAATATTTGTTTAAATTGAAAGGTAAATATTTAGAATAAAAAGATTATATATTTTTTCTATTTCATTACAATACTGTTGTAAAGTAAAGTTATATATGCTTTTACGAACAGTTATTAACTATTATTTATCCAAAATTCTTGACAAAATTTTCATTTAAAATTCAGAGGTGATTATATTACGGGATTAAACAAGAGTCCGATGTGAATATTTCCTGAAGAAAGAAGATAGCGAGAGAGAGAAAGAGAGAGAGAGAGAGAGAGAGAGAGAGAGAGAGAGAGAGAGTGGGGACAGAGAAATAGTGTTTTTAGTTACAGCATAATGCGAGTTTGCAAGTGCGAAATATTGAATAGACATCAGTGTAAGTTTAGATAAAAACTATTTCGGTGTATATAATTTTATTAATTAATTTACAATTAAATACGCAATTGTTTATTCGACTGACATTAATCAAGTATGATTTACATATTATTATTATTATTATAAAATAAAGAGAATCAATGGTACAATGGCTTAGCTACAATAATTGTTAAAAATTGCGTGACGTCTGTCGTGAAATGAGATGCATGCAATGGAGGAGCAAACAAGGAAAAACTTAGCAGTCTTGTGCAGAAGCAACGACTGGAAAAATACAGATATGTAACACTGGGAAGAACATCTTCTCTTCCATTATTTCTTTTTTTTAGATTTAAATGAAGAATAATGTCGATGTAAGCTACTGAAAATAGGTACCGACAAGCCTCTTAATAAAATTTATGAATCATTTCACGAAGAGTGAACATTAATAACATTATCGTTACATTAACGTCTTTTATTAGTATTGCATTTTTTTTTTGTTGCAGCTTTTATGTTTTATAAAAGATAAAAGAGAAATGCAAATTAACGTAAGAATAAATGAACGATAGTTATTTTACTTTGAACATGAATACAAGAAAGAATGCAATCGTTTGATAGAAACGAGGACATTAGCGCAGATAATGATGTGGATAGTGATAAAATTGCCATTGAGATAAATTCTCAAGAGCTGAAAGAATGTCAATCAAATATAAGGGAACTAAAAGAAAAACTTACGGGATCGAGCCACAACCAATCATCGATGATGTGTTATCAAGATCGAAAAAATTCTCAACCACATCCAACGCCAGATTCTGCGGAAGATGATAATGGAGAGTCATCTTTTATTAGTTCGTCATCATCAACGAGCGATGCAGAGGATGATGATGAGCCATTGGATGCATTACAAGATAAGGGCTGGATGGACGAGGTTTCTCTGCCTTCTTCGCAATTACAGCATGAAATGAATGGACATGTGTTGCCAGCTAATAATCCTTCAGAATTTGGGGATGTTTGCATAAAAAACTCCTCGAACGTGCACTTGGGGAGTAGAGTATTTTATAAAGGGCCTGTGACTATCAAACAATTTGTTTATACGAATTCTGCAGCAATTACCGATGACCCTGAGAGTTTGCAAAGTGACGGAGAAAAGCTCAAAAGCAATACTACCAACAGCGATAGTAAATCATTTGATGATCTATCATTATCAAAAAGACCATCGCATATCTTCAATTTTTTAGCCCATCATAATAAAGGTAATTAAACAACACGTTTTACACGTCAGTGTAAGAAAATATCTTACTCTGTACTTAACAGAACATTTTTAATTTATTGTTCATTTATATCATTAAAGTAAATCAATATAATCGTAGTAGTATTTAATTAACATTGAGCTTAAAATACTTTTAACTTTCGTTACAGATTATATAATTCGAAATGGCTTTACACTCATTTAATACTTGCAATTTATGTGGGAATAAATTTTTATTATATATTTTATTATTATTATTATATGAAATATATTTAAAGAATAAGTGTATGATATATGATTTAGAGTATGGAAAGATGTAGAGTATTTTGAGTTTAAATGCTAGACAATGATAGTGATAGCACGTGTTTCGAATGTAATATTCCAAAGATTTTCTTTCCTCATTAAAATTTAGCTCAGCTTTAAATTATTTATACATATATGCTTAATGAAGAGAATAAGTTTTCCTTTTTCGTTTGTTCTTTGCAATGAGCATAACCATAATATTTCCTTGAAAAAGGAAAAGAAGATATCGCACAAAATTATCACACAATCCAATAAAATTTTTTATTATTTTACAAGCTAAAGTAAGTTGTAATCAATTTTTGTAGTTTAGTTTTTTCTCATACTCATTACCTGTCTAAAAGTTTTCTTCATATATTATAAATGAATGAACTGTTTTTAATTTATGGATAAGACCTTATTCGAAGGTAAAAAAAAGTTTTTACAATTAAATTATAATTCTTATTACTACTGTCATTTTATTCATTGTATTTCTTAAAATCTTCATCCCTTATACTTTTTTCATATGTATGTATCAATCTAAAGTGCCGCGTGAAATGAAAATTCGATTACTCGATATATTTTAAGCGAATAATCTGCCATTGCCGGAGATTTTCAATTTTGTTCCCGGGCCTTTCATTATAATGCTTAGGGCTCCTGCACATCTGCAATCCGCTCGACACTTCAGACGATAAGAATATTCTTATTGCGGCAGTGCAATTCTCGCATGTCGGGGGTTAATGTCTACGCGCTACTATCACCACCGCTCATGCCAGTAAAAATCATTTATTCGTGAATATAAAAAACACAAACTATTTAATCAATTTCAAATGAACAAAATACAATTTCATCAAAATAATAGCCAAATATTTCTAAGCGCCATTTGATAAAAATTAAATTATAATTAACGAATTAAATTATAATTATTTAATATATCATTTACAATTGCAGGATGGTTTCGTATAAAGCAATGGGTATTTACCATTTGCATAATGATCTCAATGCTGGTGTCACTCACTATACTCGCTATTTGGTTATCAGGTACGACTATTTCGACGAAACGACAATATCTTCCAGTTTCGCTCAATGATTCGTCAATAAGTAATGGTACACATTAATCAAATGACTAGCATTCGGTATATTACTTAGTTTAGTCGAGAGAAAGAGAAAGAGAGAGAGAGAGAGAGAGTAAGATAAAATATTATTATTTTTTTAACAGTTTTCATCTTTCCCAGCATTATATTGTTAATGAAATAATCATTATATCCTATATAGAACGATTATTAAAAAAAAAAAAAAAAAAAACTATTAAAGTTAAGGTTTTTAAAAATAGAAATTGAGATGTACATGTTGCTGGTTAAATTTATTAGGTTATTAATTATTCAATATAAATCCATCGAAATATAAACATCTACATTGGGGATTATATTTAATATTTGTTCTAATTATGCGATTAAATATTACTTTTATAAGTTATTTGTTAAATTAAATTTTTTATAATTAATTCAACTAAATTAAAGTTTTTCACAAAAGTATAATAAATAGAACGAACAGTGTACGATGAATATGATAAAAGTAAAAAAGAAAAAAAGAAAAAAACACTACTTGTAACTGTAAATTATGCAAAAAATAAAAATGTTGCTATTGACAAAATTTATTAAATTAAAACTTTAATCGTAAGCTGTTATTTACAGCAAAGCCTAATGTATTAACCTTCTTTTTAAAATAGTATTCATTAAATTAAAATTTTATTATATATATATATATATATATATATATATATATATAGTAAAACATTATATTTTATCTGTTTACAAGGATTTAGCAAGTATTGTAAATATGATTATGATGTGAATATATGAATTTCGAATTTATTTCGTTCATAAGAATAATTTGAATATTTTTAGACCTTCGCTTAAAGATGTGTACAAATCTGTATGGAAATTAGAATAATAGGGAATGTAGATTTTAAGCGAACGTCAATATTTAATTGTATTTTATTTTAATATCATTAAATTATTCGATCGCCTCATTTCTCATTTAATACATTTGCTTAATTAGGTAAATAAGCGATAATTAACTTATACTTTAAAATCTTGACGGAATTAAGGCTCTAAATATAATATGTTCATAATTTAATAATTTAAAATAAATTTTATTATTTTACAAAAGATTCTTAATACATTTAATTTGCCTTTTTTCTTCTTATTTTATCTATCTTAAATTGTTATTAAAACTATTATTTATAATAAAACGGTTGATTTTCTAGATTTAACGATACCAGGGGTGCACATAATTCCGCGTATTGAGTGGGGAGCGCAACCACCATCAAAAACACCGACACCCTTGGGAGTTATTCCAGTTCCTTACGTAATTATAAGTCATACGGCTTCGATATTTTGCTATACTCAAGCCCAGTGTGTGTTGAATGTCCGGGTCGCCCAAACATTTCACATCGAGTCTAAGGGTTGGAATGACATTGCCTATAACTTCCTTGTAGGCGGTGACGGTTTAGTTTACGAAGGTCGAGGCTGGAACATCGAAGGAGCTCACACTTTTAACTATAACTACCAAAGTATTGGAATATCGTTCATTGGGACCTTTAATGAAGTGGAGCCAACGAAAGCGCAGCTTTATGCAACAGAGAAGCTGATCGAGCTTGGCATTAAAGAAAATTATATCAGTAAGGATTACAAGTTATTAGGACACAGGCAGTGTATTAAGACTGAAAGTCCTGGTGAAACTTTATATAATATAATTAAAACTTGGCATCACTGGTCGCCGACACCCTAATGCTGTGGAATTTCATAACTTAATTTGACAACTTAATAATAATGGATAAGCGAGGAGCTGCTTGCCGTATTATATATCTTAGCTGCAATAATTGTTACAAATTAGTTACAATATAATGATTTTTAAGATTATTAAACGTATCCAATACGGATAATCATAGTACATAAGGACGTAGTAATAAAGACAGTGGACTTACTGATGAAGCATAAAAATCCTAGAATTATTTTTAATCTTAGACTTTATTTTGAATTAATACATTTCTTTGAATTGATTTTAATCATTTGTCAAAGCGGAAAAAATATGTAGTATTATTGAAGATTGATACAGTGTTTATTTAATAAAACAAATACTTCATACATGAAAATTTACATAATTATTTATAATTATCATTTATAAATATTTCTTATATAAATATTACACATTTTATTTACAAATATTTTTTATATAAAAATCAATAGTTAATTTTAATTTAAATCAATACTAATTTAAGATATATGATTCAAAATTAACAATTAACTAATAATTAATTGAATGTTAAAAAATGAAATATTATTAACATGACAACTAGAGCAAATCTTTATCTTTTAATCTTAAAGTAAATAACCGTAGATATTTCTATATATATATATATATATATATATATATACATATACACTCATATACACTCATATATAAATATTACGACTTTATCGATTGCAATGATTAAGAATATTAATTAATAAATCTAGATAAATAATCATTTAATTAATTATAATGTAGGTACTAATAATACTTTTATATTTAAATTATATAAACATTTACATTATGTATAAAATGTTATATTAAAATAGCTCAGCAAAAACTTTTTATAAACCTGGATATTTTTTAAAATTTATATAGATGCTTACTTTAATAGAATAGAAATTAATTACTAAATAAACAAAAATTTAATAGGATATCTTTCCTACGCGTCTATTTATTATTTTAATAAAATAATATTACGTCTTAAATGAACGAAGATAGTCAAAATTTAGAAATAAAAAATAGAATCGCAAGATTACAGAATGTTTTATATTCTAGAGGTCGGTTTTAATTATTTTATTGTAATGTAGATTTCATTAGTAATCTTTGTAATCTTGAAAATACTCTATTAGATTTTATTAATTAAATATGCAATTATAAAGGTACTTGTAGATAATTTAAAAGAAATAAGTTTAAATTATTTTATTACTCATAGATAATAAATTAAACATATGATTAAATATTATGTACACTGACTGTATTCAAAATGGTAAATTCGAGGATTTCATTATTACATGGAAAACCTTAACATTTAAGTATATACCAATTACGACATATGCAAATAAACAATTAGGAAGCTTACCTCATATGAAAAGTCATTTGATAATCAGCATTATCAATTTCTAACCAACTTTTGTACTTTATTTAAAAAGTATTATATATAATGAAAAAAGAAACAGATAGTTTCATTAAAATTAAATAAACTGAAATACTCACTTAAAACTTGGAGTTTATTTTATATTTAAAAATTATGGAAAATTTGTTTATATACCTAATGTACATACTTGTTTTCATCTGAAAATTCATTTCAAAATGAAATAAAAACCTCTATTTTATGGATGAAAATTTATTGTCTCTTAATCGTATAAGTGTTCATTAATTAAGATTTATTATTTAATTGGATACATTATTTATAACTAAATTAATAAAATGTCAAATATGTTGATAGTCATCTGAACCTTTTTTATAATATTTGCAACAAAAATTAAGAAACGCTTTATTTTAAAAACCATATCTTATCATTCTTTTAAAAAGATAAGTATTTTAAATAAAAATGATTGAGATTAAATACATTTTTTATAATTTTTTACAAAATTTATTTTAAATTCATTTATAAATCATATTTGTATTTACAAACTCGTGTAGTATCTGTAGGCATTCATTATTTATTAATCTATATTTATTAATATCTCAATTTATGTAATTATTTATGTAAGTAGAATAATAATTAATTATTTTTGCCATGATTTCGTATTAAAAGGAAAATAAATTCATATGAATTATAAATATGAAAGAAATATTAGCAAATAAATTAATTAAATATTGACTAGTAATGTTTTTTTTTTATAAATCTATTTAACATCAGAATAATAAATAATAATCAAATAATTTTTCAATTATTATACATTATGAATAATATAATTAGTCAATTTTTATAATTATCTTGTTTGTGAATTAAAATATTGCTTTTTTTCTTAACAATAGTTGCTTATTACTATTCATTAGTTGCATATTGTATAATCATGCAGTGTTGCACATGTTTACAATAGAATTTCAAATACTTATTTTTTAAGGATCAAGAGTTAAAACATTTATTGAATAAAATTTAAAGTTTATTTTTAAAATTACATTTGAATATTTATTTGATTTAAACAATCTATATAAATAACAATAAAGATTTTGATAATACAAGTACATATTAACACGTGTTAATTTAGACATGTAATAATAAATATAACTTATACATTATCATTAATAAATAAGAAATATAAATTATGACGCCAAAAATTATTACTAAGTCGAATGATCAATCAAAAGCAAATAGCGTCTATTAATAGCAAAATTAATAATTACATTGAATATTCAATCGATTGAAATTAATTACAATAGATAATTAAAATGATTTAATAATGAAATTAACAATTATACTGAGTATTCGACTAATCTGAGTTAATTACGATGAACAAGTTTCAATAAATTTAAAGGGTAAAATAATCAGAGTTCTAACTAAAAGAGCCGGAGACTTAAGAATAAAATTTCATACCATTAATCAATAAGCAAACACAAAATTGCAATTTTTAAAATAATCAAATTAAGATAAAAGTTATTTCATGGGAAACATTTAATTTATAATTGATAAAAATAATTATTTTAATTATGGATTCAATAAAATATAACAATAATACAAATACCAATGTTTTAGGTTGTGGGAGCTTAAGTAAGCAATTAAGCTCGAAAAAATGAAGATGAGGAATACATTGTCGGTCACCCTTGCCTTGTGCATTATTTTATTTATTACGTTAATGGACAATGCTACAGGTAAAGTAATTTTATCTTTTTTTTTTTGTTTTTATTTTTTTCTTTTTTTTTTCTTCTTCTTTTTTAAATTGAAATATGAATATCACGAAGAGCTGAAGACTAAATTATAATTTTCTATTTGTAATTATCAAATAAACTGGTACCATTGTTTAATTAAAGTAACGTAACTGTTAATTAACAATTTTATATCTTTAAGATTTAGCGATAGTAGATTTAGCCGGGATGTCGAAGGGTTTTGAAATTGTTCAATCCAAATGCTTCTAATTATCTATTTACGATCAATGCGAATCCACTGATCGATAAACTCGGACAAGTCGTTGCCGAGTCTTGGAATCCCCACGAGCTTTCAAAGCTTCAAATCTATCTCGTTTGAATAGTCGTCGATGCGATTTATCAGACAAATCTGAAAATTAATGTAAAAATGAGTTTTATTATATATTTATGCGGTCACAATAGCGATTGGAATACGAGATAATTCAATAATATTCTATTCTATTACAAATCTCTACTTATGTTATTATTATATTATATCGCATATTCTGTAGGAGCTTGGATAATGATTAATGATCATGCAAAAATGGCCGAAAACATAACTCGTTGGTTGGTTATAACTTCGTGTTTGCTTACTTTTGAAAGTTTGCTCGTATCAACTCACTTTACTATGGTCTTTTAAATCTGTATTTTTTAAAATTATGAATAAATAAATTGATATTTATAAAATTATAATAATCTGTACCCTTTTGTTGCTGCTTATTAATTTGTAAAATATTATATATTTTTTCTATTCTATATTTACAATAATGTATACAGTGTTTACTAATAATATTTTTATGTTATTCAAGAAATATATAATTATTTAGGTGTAAAAATATTAATAAACTTAAATTTAACGCTGTTCATAGAAAATATATAAATTGGTACAGGATGTTTACCATGTGTTGTATTGAAATAAAATACTGAATTCGGACGAGTATTATTAATATTTTATATAATTATGAATAATGAAAACGTCTACAAAAAAAATCATACTTTAATAATTTGGATTTGCGCTAAATTATAAATTATTGAATTGTAAGCAAATGGTATTAAAGCGATGAACATAACTATTTTAAATAATGTAAATTTTTGATTTATTATAATATATTCTGCTGAATTTACTAATATAGATTAAGTTTTATAATATTCTTCGAATATACAATAGTAAATTTCAATTCAGATGATATTTAATAGAATAAAAGAGCATATTACCTTTCCCCCCCCTTGTTGTATTAATTATTTATATGCTGTAAGCTTTAAGAATTTATGCGAATCAAGTATAAAGTATCGAAAATTATTTGAAGTCACTTATCTAGTTCAAATAAATAATATTATATAATAAATTTTAACATTTTTTTAGTCTATGAATTTTTTAACAAAATTATAATAAATCAAGTTAAATTAAGAAATGAAATTTTATAGCGTTTATTACCAAAATCTGCAGTAATATCACATATATCGCTTTATTCGTGTTTTTAAGATAACCATATTAATTAATTTTCTATCAGAATTAAAGTGTGAATTATTAATTTTCATAATTTATTTAGTTTTAATGAACATATATATATATATATATATTTGTATATATTAACTGGCAAAATTATTTAATAATAGACTAGTACATATTGAATAATAAAATGTAAGTTTATCCAACATTATTAGTTAAATGTTATAGAGTTATGTACATTATGTACATACAATATATAAAAACGCAATAGAAAAATTTAATGTTTTCAACCTATAAAATTCTCAATATAATATATAGTCGAATAAATTCGTAATTATTAATTATTCACCCATTAATTAAAAATTAATTAATTTGAATTTATCGATTTAGATTTTACAATTATGTATATCGAATTATTCGAATATTTTAATATTTTCTACGGAGATGTACGGATACGATGAAGACGGATGAAAAAATTGTGAATATGGTATGGTATGAAATTATAGAACTTGACAATTTTTATCAAGTATTGCTAAATGAATCCTATTAGTAATTCGTTAAACAAACGTAAGAACTTTATTTTATAGTAAACTTTAAAAAAAGACAAATTAAGAATTTTCATTGAATCTATATGAATTTCGAATTAAAAAAAATGAAAGTCATTATAAAGAATTTCGATGCCATTCTCATAAATAAAAGACCAATTAACCCGTCTATTAAAACTAGATAATATCGATGTTGGTTCACGTGAACGTAGAGGCCATTTCATATCTTAAATACCTCGTTCATCGTTATGGCAGCCAAGAAATAATATAATTACAACTGATGCAACAAATATTTTTCTTATTCATGTCTGAAAATAACATTTTTCTTCTTTTTGATACTGTACAGGGTATTTGGTATTATGCTTGAGATCATTCATTCAATCGAAGTTATAAAATAGATTTTATTTGTAAATGGAAATGTTACGATTACAAACGATTACGAGCGAATGCTCAGTATGTATTCAAAAGACTGGAAGATGATTTTTCATCAATCGCATGGTAATTCGCCAAATGAATGACATTTACTCACTTATTTATACTCATATTCTTGAGTTCTATTATTTGCAGTTTTTTTTTTTTTTTTTTATTTTTAATGAAATAGATAGAGTATTCTAAATTAAAAGGATAATTTATGATATAAGATCGGTTTTATAAATCAGCAATTGGTACTCGTATGTTAAATTGAGTTTAGAATTCCTAAATTTCATAATGATATTCAAGGTCATTTAGTTAAGCTATAAAATTTTCATAAGAATTCAATATATTTATTTTTATGATTATTGCTATTGTTGTTGTTATTGTTAATATTAACCAGCTTCAGATTTATTAAATCTTGGTATTCTATTTATGTGTTTAATGAGCTTGCATAAAGTATAGTTGATAATGAATATATTATGTTTTCTTATTTTCCAATATTAAGCGAGTATGTTCGTGACTAACTGGAAAATTTTTATTTAAATGAGATTAAATTAAACATATTTTGATACATAATATAATTCAAATATCTATTCATAAGGTTTTCGAATCTATCACGAAGAATTTGATTGAAAATATTTACTTTCAAGTTAATATTTCTACGAAAATTACTAGTTCAAATAAAAAAAAAAAACATTTATAATATGACAAAATAATATAAAATCATCGTTCTTTAAGTTAATTTCTAATTTGCATTGCTTATCTATAAAAATTATTCTTTGTATGTAAACATTTACTTAATATTTTATGATAAAAAATATATATATACTGAAATGAATGACGTAATACATGTTTGTCAAATAATTTTTGAATAATTTTTTAATTAAATCTTTTATACAATAGAATGTGCTTTATGTATTATACAAAAGATTTAATGAAATTTAAAATCCAATTAATCAAGCAACTTATTGGGGAAGTTAAGAGTTATAAACCGTTTATAATGAAAAATATGAAATATAACTAGTTGTTAAATATTTACTTATAACAGATATTTTAAAAAAAAAAGAAAAAAAAGGAAAATAAATTTCGAGGCGAATTTAACAAAAATTAATAGTAGAGAGAATATTTGTCTGCCTTACTTTTATTTTGTTCATTCGATCAAAAGTTGTCCATCCTTCAATAGGATATTGTGAATTTTTTTTTTTTTTTATTTAAAATAAGGTATGTTTTTAAATACAAATGAATTAATTTTTATAAACTTACTAATATTCAATATTTAGAATAAGATTTCGTTGAAATATTAAATATATAAATTTAAATTATATTAAAACATCAAATAATTACTTAAAATTTTATTGAATCATTAAAAATAGTAATTAAAATTTTATTAAAATAATTAGTATGTAAACGAAAATTTTATTGCAATATTAAGTATATAAAAATTATAATAAATACAAAAATTTCAATTTTTTATATTTTTGTTATATATTTTCGTAGAAATATCTACTTGTATTATATTATATCTGAATACCTTAAAGTGAATCCAAAGATTAATAATATCAATTATCTTACAAAATTTTCAGATTTATAATGTTATGTTATAATTTGAAAAAATTCCTTCTTAGTTTAATGTATAATATAATTACTATTGTAAACAATTTCAATTATATATTAACAAGTTAAAGAATATTATTTCAAATAAAAAATTATACAAAAAGTGCAGAATTAATTAAATAGTATTTTCTTATCAATAATAAACATTTTCTTGACTACGTGAACACAACGATGGCAATTATTAATAATAATATTAAGATTTAAATTATTTTTCTCGATATTGTTGAATACGTATATGATAATAAATCTTATAAATTGAATTTATATTGCATTTATTTAAAATTTAAAATTTATAGTTATTTTAGTCCTCTGAAAGTATGTTTATACAAATGCACAGTATGAAGATGTTAATTAAAAATCTGATAAATATCTATGGATACTATGTATTAAAATTAAACATAATTCACTTCTAAATTGTTAACGATTATATATTCATCTACAATAGTAAATTTTTAAAAAATACTGTGAAAAATTGTAAGTATTTGAAATTGAATCGCAAATACTAGGATATTCGAAACTATATATATAATTTTATGGAATTACGTAGATGAAGTTTAATTGAATATTTGTAATATTTTGTCATAAATATGTATATCTTAAGGGTAACTATTGTTAAATATAGGAATGAAATTATAAGAACAAATATTTAAATTATATTTTGTAGTAAATGTATAATTTATACTTGTTTCCCATTTTAAATTTTACACCATATCAGATTACATAAAAAATTCATAAAGATAAAATTAAATTTTGTAAACGATTAAGAAATTACTCTTTTAATATTAAGTCTATTGCATATTAACTTGTCTATTTATTAAAAACATTAAGCAATAAAAATTAATAAAATTCTTTATAAATTATAAATACAATCTACAAATAAGAAAAAGGATTGTAATTATATAACATGTAATCTTATTTTTTAATTATATGTAATTGGTGTAAAAAAAGTAATCCTTTTATATTTTGTCTTTTGAAATTTATGTTCAAATAGTATATTTTGCGTTTTTCCGTATCAATTATTTACTTAATATTTATAAATTTCTATGAAAACAATATATCAATATTTTATACTAACTTATGCTTCTAACCCTTTGAAAATCATAGAAACTAAGAGTCTCAACAACTGACGTGGAACTCAACATGAATTCGAAATATCTAATGTTTATTGCCATTATTTTCTTTGGCACATTTGCTAGTGGATTATGTAATAACTTAACAAGTATGCAATTTTATCTTTTCTCTTATTTGTGAAATAAATTTGGTTATAATTATATACTTAAAAAATTTCCGTATAATTAATAAAATATAAATTCTAATATTCTTTTATGAAAAATTATTTATTAAATATTATTATCGTGAAAACACGATCTATTAATTGGCTACTTAAGTATAAAATTGATTATTTCATATTGCAATGATAATAAAAAGATAGTTTCTTTGATATCAAATAAAAATTTGTCAAATGTATGCTGTATTAATAATAAAATTTTTATACTTAATACATAATTTTTGTACCCGCTTTGTAGCATTTGTCTTGTATATAAATATAAATACGTGAAACTCAAAAATATGTTTAAATGAAAGACATAAAAGTAATGAATTTTATTAAGTATTTTTTTTTTTTTAATTTTTTTTTTATTTTTTTTTTTATTTTTTAGATACTTGACGTAGGAAAATTATTATTATTGTATTATAAAAAAAGATATTATTTGAAATATTTTACTTTTGATTTATATATATATATATATATATATATATATATATATTCGTCTCACGCACGCACACACATATGCGTATATATATATATATATATATATATGTGTGTGTATGTGTGTGTGTGTGTGTGTGTATGGCGGTAACAATAAAAATCTTTTATGTTTATAAAATAAATCTAAAAATTGTTATCGAGTAATGCAATACGTGATCTAGTTATAATTTTAAGTAGAAAATTCATTAATTTTGAAAAACTGAATATAGTCTATTGATGAAAGTATCTAGTTTTGCAATTATTAAAAAAATACTTTGTTTATAGATACTTTCCGTATCATAAGTCGTAATGAATGGGGCGCAGAACTACCGCGACTACCGCCCATCGAACTGAAAGTATACCCAGCTCCATTTGTCATTATTACCCACACACTGACAGAACACTGCTCAAACGAACGTACGTGCGGCAAACTTATTCGTGGAATCCAAGACATGCACATGTTGCAGATCGGTTGGAACGACATTGCCCACAATTTCCTCGTGGGCGGCGACGGGAACATTTACGAGGGCCGCGGCTGGAACGTCGAGGGAGCTCACACTAGAAAATTCAATCACAGAAGCATCGCCATTGCGTTTATGGGAGATTATTCGGAAACACCGGCTACGCAACAACAGCTGGATGTAGTCAAAAACTTTATACAATATAGTGCACAAGCAGGAAAAATTGCGAGTAATTATAAACTCGTTTGTCAGCGGCAAGCAGAATTTACAAGAAATCCGGGCGATATTTTGTATGAAATTATCAAAACGTGGGACCATTTTGTTCCAGGACTCGTATATTAGTTTCATTGCGATGAACATTACGGTAGGAACTAACATTGAAAACATTTAGTAAAATGCATTAATAATATACCAAATTCATTAAAATATAGATAAAAGAACTGAATTTTTTTTATTTTTATTTTTTGTTTTTTGTTTTTGGATTTTTTATTATTGTTCTATTAAATACAATTGTTGTAAATACACAAATTACTAGCAAACCGATACTATTATATAATATAATTGTAGAAATATATTGAAAATTCAAATAAAGTTTTTTAAAGGGTTTATTTAATTGCGTACATTTATCAAATATAAATAAATAAATAAATAAATAAATAAATAAATATATATATATATATATATATATATATATATATATATATATATATATATAAAAATAAAAGAGTATAAATTTTAGTTTATTGTAATGTATTAAAGCGACGTCCGCGAGCGCGTTACACGACATACAGGCTATCATATCTACGTATGTGTGTGTGCATGCATGGAGTGTCGGGCACAACCGCGGGATCCTGTAACGCGACAATTCCGATGGGGCGTAGAGGGAGGGGAGAGACGTGATGTATCGCGTTTTACTCGGTTATAGCTTTTGCGTGGCTTCGTGTTTCCGGGTTCTAGAGCGCCTCGACATTATTCTTGACCAAAGTGCAAGCGATTCGCTAGTCAAGCACTCCCCGACACTATTTCCTATTTCGCTCGTTTCTTCTCGTTTTCTCCTTCTCGCCCTTCCGTATCCCAATCCCAATTGTTCTTCTTCCCTAATTCTGCATATTCGACCTTCTCTTTTCCCATTTGCACTACTAATCCATTTCTGTGTATTACGCCGCATATTTTGACTTCTTAGACATTTCAAACCAGCCAGCTGTCACTACGAGGAACAAAACACAAATGAAAATTTTAATAAATAAAAAGTAAGAAAGTTATTAAAAAATACTTATAATAATGTTAGCGTTTAAAAATAAAATTAAATTAATGGAAACTTTACATATATCATTTTTCTATCTCACGTGAAATTTAAATATTTGTTCGACATATTTATTATATTACTTTTATAATCGATCAATGAAATTCCAATAAATTATTATATAGTACTTAATAAAGAATTCAATTTAATATATATTTTGTACGGTAATTGTTACATTTTCGAGATTAAGAAAAAATGCACGTAGATTAAATACATGATTTTGCTTCAAATACATTACAATTAGCACATATTTATTTGTTTTTAATAATTATATCCAAAATTGTATAAAAGTAGTAATTTCGGAAGAATGTATAAATTCAGTTAATTTATTATAATTTTATTACATTTCATTATTCTTAATGCGTATATGTCCATTTAATAATAAATTGATATATTGACATTCATTTTCATGTCTGTCACGTGAATAATGGTCAAGGTCTACTTTTTTCAACAAACTTATATTTGAATAGAGAAAAAGTATTTTGCTTGAAAAGTTAATCGTACATAAAATCAAGTCAAATCTGTTTTAATAAATACTGGTTTAGTTGGGGCTATTACCGGCTCATCGGTACCAATATAAATAAAACAATATTCACTTCTTTAAATCAATCAATTTTTAATTAAATGACACTACCAGTATATATCATTATAGGCTGATTTATACATTGAATATTAAATATAACTTATATATTATTATTGTTAAATAAGTGAGAAGAATTGTGACTGGCAAAATTATTACTAAGTCGAATGATCAATCAAAAGCAAATAGCGTCTATTAATAGCAAAATTAATAATTACATTGAATATTCAATCGATTGAGATTAATCACAATAGACAATTAAAATGATTTAATAATTATATTAATAATTATGCTGCATACTGACACTGGAATTTTGAATTAACGATGACAAAATTAATTGAAAAATTGTGACTTAATTGAAATTGATAAATGAAATAAACTTAAAGGAGAAAATAAGTAGAGTGGTAACAAAAATAGCAGGAAATATACGAAACAAAGTTCTTAGCAATAAAGAATAAGTATAACAAACAATTCTATAATAACAATAATAAATATAATGACAAGAGTAAAAGTGTGAATGATTACTGTATCTTAAAAAAGAAAAAGAAAAAAAATTATTTTTGAAATAAATTTATTATTTATAATTTGATCTACGTATACCCACATTAACAAATATTAATACTTGAGTTTGATGTAGTGAAAACCTAGGAAAATCCTAGGAGTCTGTAAAGATTTTTTTTTAGAGAACCTATTCCATACTCATTTATAATCCAACTGTATTCGCTACAATTACCGATTTGTTTATTCCGCAAGTGATAATTGAGTTAAATGAATAAAACATTTGATTTAGACAATATCGACAAGACCATTAATTAATATATATTTATATATATATATATATATATATATATATATATATACATATATATAAATGCAAATAGAAATTTTTCAATTATATCGAATGAGATTCTAAATGCAATTTGTAAATTATTTAAGATGCAAGTGATAAAATTTTTGCCTGCATTACATTACTTTGATTCTCTATTTATACATAAATATTATTGTACTATAGGTAAATATTATTACTTATTGTCCATACTTAATCTGTTACATTAAACAATAAGCATTTTAAACGAATAATCAACAATTTATCCTTTAAAATCCATTGAGATAATACAAATTGTGAAAAAGTGCAATAAAATTATTTATGAATTTGAAAAATGTAATCCATTAGATAAATAATTTACAACAAATGAGTTTCTTATATTAATTCTATTGACCAGCGATTAATAAGCTTTTAATAGTAATTTAATAGGAGATGTGGCCGAGCGTGCATTAACATATTTTTACGCGTATATCGATAAAAAAATATTGTACATTTTAATGAATATAATCAGTCGCGTAATTAACATTTTCATTTTGCTTAAGCCGTGAGAAACGAGAGTGTCTGAGAAAGAATAAAGTACTCGAAACAAGGATTTTACGAAAAAAATATCGTCGATGTGATAGAGATGGAAAATCTGTATATGATGTATATGATGTATATGTATATATGATCTGTATATGTAAAGAGATGTCGGATAGCGTGACATCGAGTAGCTAAATGAAGTGGAATAGAAAATAAATTTTACAATAATTTTATAAATATTCGGTAAAGATCAAATAATCTTTGAATATTCAACTTAGGAATGTAGAATAGTCGACAAATTATAATATACAAATTTTTATAAAATCCTTTGCAAAAGATTTCGAACCTTTAAAAACGTCTAAACAATCTGCAAAAAACTTTAATACTTGATTTATTAATAATTTCTTAATAATTGTAACATATGTATTTATAACATATTTATAACATACCATAACAACTGCGATTAAATAATGCAAATAATATTATGAATTTATACTATGCGTGTGTGTACAGAATAATTATCTTATAAATATTTAGATTTTGAAATATTTAAACATCTTATTGTATCTTCCGATTCATTTTATTTGCTTTATTTTAAAATACCATCAGATTAGAATGTTATCAGATTTTAAAGTAGGGTAAGATGTAGGTAAATAAAGTAAATATCTTTAAGTAATATAAATAGAGTGGTGGTGAGTTATGCAAGTAGTTAAGATTGTGTGCTGTGAGCTATTCAGAAGTGTGTGATCGATAACTTTCGAGAGGTGTTTACCAAAATAATTGTAAATAAAATTTTCACATTCGATTGCAGAGAATTTTTGAAAAATAAGGTATAAAAATTTAAACTCATTTAGATAGGATATTTTAGAAATATTTATTGTAGACGAAAGGCGATGAAAAATAATTTATAAATTTTTGTATTCCATATAAACTCGTCGGATTATCGATTATTAATAATCTATCAAATGCCTACGAAATGTAAATTTTCAGTTAATTAGTTAACCTTAATATTAATGACACATTATTTTTAATACGTATGCCACCTTGTAATAATAAGTTTGTATATTGACCCACATTTTTATTAGTTTCACGTGAATTTTTTCACGTTTCATGGTTTGTAAAAAACTACTTTTTAAAAAAAAAAAAAAACCCTTATAATCGAATAGAGAAAAAGTATTTTACTTAAATAGTTAATCATACATAGAATCAAGTCAAATCTGTTTACATGTGCACTTGCACTAACCTATATCTATACTAATGTTATATTTTATTATATGAAATTTTGTCATTAGGGCTTTTGATATATATTTATATATATATATATATATATATATATATGAAATTGTATATATTATTTTATACTTAGCAATATATTATGTATTTGTTGTAATTATTTACTAATGCTTATATGTTGAATAATTTATTGTGATAATTATCATCACAATTTTTAATTTCTTTCATTTTTAATGCACATATATATAACTTTCGTATGAAACTCATAAATTTTATAAAATGTAAAATATTTTATTAATTTACTTTATCCATATTAAGATTTCATGGGAAACATTTAATTTATAATTGATAAAAATAATTATTTTAATTATGGATTCAATAAAATATAACAATAATACAAATACCAATGTTTTAGGTTGTGGGAGCTTAAGTAAGCAATTAAGCTCGAAAAAATGAAGATGAGGAATACATTGTCGGTCACCCTTGCCTTGTGCATTATTTTATTTATTACGTTAATGGACAATGCTACAGGTAAAGTAATTTTATCTTTTTTTTTTTTGTTTTTATTTTTTTCTTTTTTTTTTCTTCTTCTTTTTTAAATTGAAATATGAATATCACGAAGAGCTGAAGACTAAATTATAATTTTCTATTTGTAATTATCAAATAAACTGGTACCATTGTTTAATTAAAGTAACGTAACTGTTAATTAACAATTTTATATCTTTAAGATTTAGCGATAGTAGATTTAGCCGGGATGTCGAAGGGTTTTGAAATTGTTCAATCCAAATGCTTCTAATTATCTATTTACGATCAATGCGAATCCACTGATCGATAAACTCGGACAAGTCGTTGCCGAGTCTTGGAATCCCCACGAGCTTTCAAAGCTTCAAATCTATCTCGTTTGAATAGTCGTCGATGCGATTTATCAGACAAATCTGAAAATTAATGTAAAAATGAGTTTTATTATATATTTATGCGGTCACAATAGCGATTGGAATACGAGATAATTCAATAATATTCTATTCTATTACAAATCTCTACTTATGTTATTATTATATTATATCGCATATTCTGTAGGAGCTTGGATAATGATTAATGATCATGCAAAAATGGCCGAAAACATAACTCGTCGGTCGATTTATCTATCCATTATATTAGGAGAAAGTTCGTAGTTTCATTTATACGCTCGGATGCTCATTTTCGTTTTGAGCAACTAATTTTCTTCTCTGAGAAAGCATCGGTCTATTGGCATTCTATTATCGCGCATGCAAATCCGCAAAGGTTTTGCAGATGATCTACAGATTTAAGCTATCGACAGAGTGTTACGCCAATTGGTGTTCGGATATAAACTTGTGTTTATAAAATAAATAATAAAATTATCAGATATTAATAGTGTTTTATAAAAAGAAAATTTTTAGTTAAAGGCTAATAACCTTTTGTATCTTCATTTCGGATGTTTTTACATATAATTATAATCGACAGAACAAACGATCGTTTTTAAAGACACTTTTGTTCGAAGTCAATGCTTCTGCAAATTGAAAAAATTTTATCTTGAAACATCCATTAAGGATTCTTTAAGGATCACGTATCCAAATACCTCAATCTGTATCTTTTTTTATCAGTATCTCGATCTGTATCAATATTTATTATACGTTTTTCTTATTCCAACAGTAATATGATGAGTTTGTACTAAAGTTTCAATCAGACTGCTTTATCTTTATTCTTATAACTAAGATTTTTTTTTTTTTTTTTTCATGAAATTTACTTTTCATATTATTTCTTCTTAAATATACAAATTTATTCGGTTATGCATGGAATTACAATGATTAAAATAGAATTGGCCAACCGAAAAATATTAACTTTAATTATCAGTATCTTTATATACTTCTATTTCAATAAGAACTTTCAGTTGTACATGTATATATATGTATGTAGCAGTATAAATGAACAATGTTGTATGCGATGCACATAAGCTCTTCTTCTTTAATACCCAAAAGACATAAATATTAGAATGGATTTTAATTAGTTTAATTTAATTAAAATAAAATGCCTTTTTATATTCTTCAAGCAATGTGAAAAAATTGTTATTTTTGAATTTTTTTCTTTTTTTTTCTTCTTCATATTTAGTGTGTAAATAATAGTTTCCTTGTCTGAATAATTTAATTTTGTCTGAATAATTAAAACAGTTTAATATACTACTGATTATTTGAATTTGCAGTTGGTGATTTCACCCTAGTTAGCCGCGCTAATTGGGGTGCTTTACCTCCTAGACAGTCATTACCTTCGTTAGGAAGAAAGCCTCTGGCGATTGTTCTAATTACCCAAACAAATTCGTTGGGATGTTATAATAACACAAGCTGCCTAGACATTATTCGTAAAAAGCAAACATTTGACATGAATCATCTCGGAAAACTAGACATCAATGCCAACTTTCTCATTGGTGGCGACGGTAACGTTTACGAAGGCCGTGGCTGGGGTTATCAATCTGAAGAGGAGAGGTCCTACGATGTGAAGAGCATTTTTATTTCTTTTATAGGAGATTATTCTCAGATGGTGCCTGCGAAGGAGCAGGTTGATGCTACCATGGAGCTTTTAAAGTTGGGCGTTCAGCAGAAAAAGCTGTCTAAGAATTATAAGATTTTGGCTTTGAGACAGGTTACTAATATTTTGAAGCCTGGCGTTCATTTGTTGGATGTTATAAAAACTTGGCCTCACTGGGTTCCAATCATTAATTTATAAAATGTCTTATATATAGAGTTTATTTAATTATTTATTCAGGCTTTATTAATAATTGTTTGCTCACTTTAAAGTAGTGAAATATTATTTAAATGTGGAAGTGCCGTTATAAAATAACAAAAGATCTAAAATCCCGTAGAAACAAAAATGTATTGCTGTTCTAGAAAATTATTAATATACGAAAATTAAAATATACTACGTTTTATATGTATGTTTAATTAAAAACCAATAATAAATGTACATGATCAGTGTATCATTAATATGATATATTATTATGAATAATAAAGTCGTAAACATCAAAATATAAAAATCAAATATTTACTCTAATAATTGTTAAAGATTTGTTAAAAATAATTAGTTATTAAGATGTAGAAAAATGGTATTATGGAAAAAAAACATAGATATATCTTTTATTTTACATAATTAAATACAATATATAACAGCTTAAATTATTCTTATATAAGCTTAAACTGATTTTTAAAATATCTTAATCTCCCTAAATTTCATAATGTAAAATCTTAAAGAATATACTAGTGGTCACTTGCATATTTTATAGAATATATATATATATATCTTATAAAATCTTATATGGACAATTTTCAGATCAATTAATACAAATTCTACTTAAAATCTACACAATATATATATATATATATATATATATATGTATATATTAATACAAATTATATATATATATATATTGTATATATTTTAAATAATATGTATTTATATTTGTGTATATATATATATATATATATATATATATATATATATATATTGTGTAGATTTTAAGTAGAATTTGTATTAATTGATCTGAAAATTTTCCATATAAGATTTTTTTCCAATTTACAATAAGAAGCAATTTTCCCCCATATATTTAAACACATTTTAATTATTTAATATTAAAACATATAATCATATTGCTTATAAGAATATAACAGAAGACATCATAATATCTTTCATATTTGATAAACTTTTATATTTTCATACTATTTAAAATAATAATTTCTACTGTTTTGTGTTTCTAGTCTTTTGTTTATGGATAAATTAATTTTATTTTACTAATATTCTGATATTTACAATTGTCGCTTAAAAATTTCTTATGAAACTTGAAAGAACTAAAACTATACTTTTTTATTCATAATCTTAATTGTTTTATCAGTTTTATTATTTTCCATCGTTCATGTTACAATATTTAATTTCCTAATCGTTGATAACAAAATTTTTCATTTAAATGATATTATTCAGAAAGAAAAACAATTTTAACAAATTATTCAAACACCCAAATCTTTTGCAATAAACAATTATTTAAAATTGAATTTTTGAAAATGATAAATAGTAATGACGAATTATTAATTTAGTTAAGAACAAATTTCTTTATTCGAGTATTATAAAAAAAATTTGTTCTTATTTATGCATTAATCGTATGTTTATCAAATATCTTATTCGAATTTAACTGTTTTTTATTTGCTATAAATGTGTTAAATTTAAATCGATATTATAAGATAATTTAAAAATATTTTAAATAAAAATTCTTTCGGATTATATAATTGAATTTAATATTCAATGTTAACAATGAGAATATTATTATAAAGTTTTATAGTATAGACAGATATGCGTTAAAACAGAAACAAAACAAAAATTCACAAGTAAGACCTATCGAGTACTAATAATTCATAATTTTATGCAAGAATTTCATAAATGTAATAAAATGTATATTTATTTGAAGATTCATATTTGTTTATACATGTTGTTGCATATTTTTAAAAGTATGCAGAGAAAAAAAAAAGAATAAAAGTTTGTGAACTTTGTTGTATTTAATAATTAAAGTGAATGATAAATACTTTATTTTTTAAAAGTTTGAAGGTATGAAAAACTTTACAGATTTGATTCGTACAATGAATATTTATTTATTTTTTTTAAATTACTCAATTAATTTTACATAAATCAGTAATGAAGTAATATATATATATATATATATATATATATATATAGATGATTATAATTTATGTAGAACAATCGAGTTATATTTAGAAAAATAAATATTCATTGTAACAGTTAAAATTATTGCAGTCAAAACAAATATATATATAAAGAGAGAATATATGTAATCATGAATTAAATTGCAAAATTAAATAATATGTCAGTGGGGTTCCCCTCCCAAGTTATTTAAAAAATATCGCTAAGGGAAACTGATGCCAGTCATTCAACGTACATCCGTGGGTACGTGAGATTGAATACAGTGAATAAATTTCTGTTTATAAAAGTTAAATGCAATATAATATATTTAATTTATAAAAAAAAAAAAAAAAAAAAAAAACACGAAAGAAAAAAAAAGCCAAATGAAAATAATTAATTAATAATAATAACTAAATATTGCATTTTCACGCTATAAGTATGCACGTTCGTATTTGCGTAATAATATTATAAAAGATTTATTATTTGCACACATTTTGAATATAGAAATGGATCATCTACTATTACGATCCCTTTCATTGATTATTGGAATTTTACTCATTGGAATATTTTTTACAACAGCCAATGAAGATTTAATAGGTAAGCAAGGTATTATGATTTTTTTTAATGAAATTCAATAATCTTACTAACATTCTTATAATATAATTCAATGATTGTGATTGTCAAAAGTTTGCCACAAGCTATAGAAATCCTTAAAAACCAATCAATTATTTTTTTTATAATTTATATTTTTATAGACCTTACACCCGAGAACTCTGTACTCCTCTATATTCGATATTTTTGTTAACAAGACGTGATTTTTATTCTATATTCGCAAATAATGAAATACGTTTAAAGTTGAGTTCGTTTATAAGAATTATACTATGTCATGGCCATTCTTTATTTCGATATCAATTTAAATGTTAATATAAATTCTGACATCATACATTTTATCATCATCTTTTATGTAATATTATATAGCATAATAAAATAAACATAATTGAAATAATTGAAATTGGTAAACTATGATATTATTATTAGTATTAGTTTATATTATTAGTATTTTAAAATAAATTATATATTTTTGCATCTGGAAACATTTTTGAAAAGAATTTTTGAAATTTTGAAATGAAAAATACTATTAATAATGAATATGCCGCAGCTCTGTCGAACGATGCTCGTTCAATTTCCGCCAAACTTGATCGAAGCTTTATATTTTTAATGAAGAATCTTTGAATGGTCGTTTGTAACATTACTGTCGATTTCTCTCCCAAGAGCTTATGCAACAGCCGATTTAATTCCCAATCAGACAACTCAAATCATCAAATCATCAAATTACGCCCCGATGAAATTTCAGCAGCGAACGAGTTTACAAGGAACCCCAAGGATCTGCACATAATAACGCGGACCGATTGGGGCGCTCAACCCGCTACGGATTCACCCCGCCAACTGAAAGTCCAGCCGGCGACTTTCGCGATTATCAGTCACACGGCCACGCAGTCCTGCTACAACGAAGCCAAGTGCATTCTGAACGTCCGGGTCATCCAGACGTTCCACATAGAGGCCAAGGGCTGGCTCGATGTCGGCTACAACTTCCTCGTCGGTGGCGACGGGAACGTGTACGAAGGTCGGGGCTGGGATGCCGCGGGCGCCCACACTCACAATTATAATAACCGGAGTATCGGCATTGCCTTCGTCGGCGACTTTAGCTACAAGAGTCCGCCCAAGGAGCAAATCGTCACCGCGGTTAGGCTTCTCGATCACGGCCTCAAGACCAATAAGCTCGCCAAGGACTATAAGCTCATTGGCCAGAGGCAGGTGGCCCACACCCAGAGTCCCGGCGATAAGCTTTACAACGTCATCAGGACGTGGGAGCACTGGTCCAATAATCCATAATGCGCCAACACGTTGTTATTTTGCTAGACTCTCGCGCTATTTTTTTTTTTTTTTTTTTTTTTTTTTTTTTTTTTTTTTTTTTTTTTTTTTTTGTCTTATTGTCTTGTTTTGTTGTTTTTCGAATTCACGTAAGACTCGCTTTGTCCTCGTATATAAAAGTTACTCCATACGATCCTTAATCATCCATTGGCACTTGTCCATTTGAACAAATTCGTGCAAACGGGTTCTCCGATATAGCGTGGGATTGAAAAATTATACCGCGTTCAAATAAATTTATAAATAGTTCGGGCAATTTGTGTGCGTTACTCCGAACGATTGGAAAATATTCGGATTTGATTATCGTTAGAAAATATGAAAAATATGATGTATTCCCATAGTTTAAATTCTAATCTGACAATTTTCATAGAAATTTTGTAATTTCGAAGTATATAATATTATTATATTGTTCATAGAATGATATTGACTCGTGAATTATCAATTAATGAAATTAATGACTATTAAAATAATTATCTTGTAATCAATAAATGTTGAAATTTTGATGTTGAAATTCAGTTGAAGCGAGTGAATCATTCAAATATTATTTTTCAATTATAGCAATTAATATTTTGAATTTATACCGTGAATGTATACATTATGTTATAAAATTTATATTTTAAAGCAGTTTTAGCGTAAATACGTAGACATATTATTAATAAGTATTAGTATATGGGGTATTATACGGTAATGCGTTGAAATTGCAAGGGATTTAAAAAGGAGAACTCGTAGTAGAATTATAACAAATTTTTTGTCATGCTTGCAGCATGTCAGGCATTACAGCGCTTAGTAAGTAAATTTAAAAAGAAAAAAAAATTTTTGGGCTGATTAGTTGTGTGATTGACTAGCAGTAGGTAATACAATTTTTCTTATTTTATTTACATTTTGTTTTTCGTGTAATAAATCGAACGCCTGAACGATACTGTAAATATGTTCAACAAGGGTCCATTCGGATATTATATAAGCGACTTCCATACCTAATCCTATCTCTCTCATTCGCGCCTATAGATCATCCTATTTTAATCTCTCTCTCTCTCTCTCTCTCTCTCTCTCTCTCTCGCGGCAGTTCAATTACGTAATGTCTGGACGGACCCTAAGTCACACCGAGAACTCTAATAACGTTAAACAGGAAGAGGAACCCATGCCAATAATGCGATACATAATTATGCAAATGTATTTATAGCTTAACAATAAAGTAATCGAATAAATATTTTAATCATTACAAATCTCACCTCTATTATTAATTGTCATTATAACTATTCATATTACACGCAATAATTCAAATTGTCCTTTCTTCATCCACTATTATTTTATTTCTCCCAATTATGTATTCACCTAGTGATATAAAATAAATTATAATCTTAATTTATAATTATAATATAATAAAAACTGTAACATATAATGATTTCAATATCATTAATAAAATTATTATATTTAGGAATAGTAATGTTATACTTGTACTTAAGAATCTTTTGATTACAATGAAAAATATTGAAATCCATCAAATTTATTTTAAATACTTATTTAATAAATAAAAATGTATAATTTGCATATTTAACGATTTCAGCGCGCGCGCACATTATATTCTAATGTAGACGTAACCTGATGTTGTGATGATTATCATTGAAGATTATTCGGTAATATTGATTTCATTTTGCAAGTGAATTTTAGCAATTAATTTTTAATGTTAAAATTTTTTTACCAAGTTCCTCTGCAATGACAAATTAATAAAAGTTTTGGTCATTTGATATGTATGCTTAGTCCACCGATACATGCATATAATAATACTATTCCATTACAAGAAATAACTTTACCTCGATTATAATCATTTTTTAAATTTTTTTGTATTATGCCAGTTATAAATGTTGTAATTGTCATATTTTTGTTACAGATAGAAGGAAATTCAATCTACATTTATAACGAATATTTAACATTTTTTATTCAGCAGTTTTTATTATTTCATGAGTATTTTTATAAATCACCATCCACATATTTTCTTTGTATATAAGAGAAGCAAATGCAATTTTTTTTTTTTTTAGTACCAATGAAATAAACCGTTTAAAAGTTGATATTGCTAAACCCAATCTCAAAATGATATTAAAAATAGATAGTAAATAAATGATTGAAAGGTGAGATTTTGAAATAAATTACATTAATGAAAACCAACCATAAATAATAAATGTTTATAAATATAAATATATAAATGCATATACAATAGTAAACAAGTATTCCTGTTCCTGTTAATGGATTTTCAGCTAAGCTAGATTATTGAGTATGAGTAGTTGTTGTAAATTTTGATTTATTCATTTGTAATATACTTATGTGACTTAAGAGAAATATATTTATTCTATAATTTCTATTTTCTTCTTTCTTAAGTATCATAAGAATTTTCTTAATAATACTCATATTATAATTTATATAATTCATTCTTATTTGTATAACCCTTATCTTTTCATAAACAAGGAAGGAGAAAGGGCAATAATATGCCTCCAAGGAATTTTCCTTTATGGATAACAGATTTATATTTTCTCATTAGTCTTAATCACAAATAAATGTAAGTATTATCATATGTAATATTATGTAGAATTTATTAAGATATTTCAATTTATATTCAGTTTATTATTGAATTTATTAGTGTCGTTAGATCTATCGATAAAAACTTTTTTTATTAAATTTTTACTGATTTTACAATTATTTGTGTGTGTGTGTGTGTGTGTGTGTGTGTGTGTGTGTGTGTGTGTGTGTGTGTGGTTTTTTAAATATATTTATACATTTTAATTTATGATTCTTTCATTAATTACAAATGAATATTGAACGTCAAAATATCTATTATTTGAAATACCGCTTAAAATATATTACGTATCAGATGTAAATTGTTAAATTGATATTGTTGGACAATATTTGTTTGTAGTTATGTTAAGTTTTGATGTATGTCGAGTTAGTGATTGTATAGCTCGAAATCAATTGATAAATTACAAGTTTTTTCATTATTTACAAATTTGTAATATTATTTTTCGTATCAAAAGCGTAACAGTACCGCTAACGGTTGGAAGAGGTTTTAAGAACTTAATTTAATAATTCTGAATTTCTTTTAATCGTTGTGATTATTCTACTCGTATCGTCTTGTATTTCAAAGGCCTTTAAGTATGGGTGAACGTTTAATTAGTTAATCCTTATAATCTTCATAAAAGTATAATCAATTACAAATGTTATATTTTAACCAGTTTAGTCGCTCTTTTCTCGTTATTTTTTTCATGTCAGATTTATTCTGTGTGTGATAAGGTGCGACTACCAGAGTCACTGCTTCTTCGTCAGTTTCAATAGATCAGTATCCTATATTGTAATATATGAAATCTACATAATTAATCATATTATTATTTAAGCTACTGAGTGTAGCCAAAACTTCAAAGTATATTCCTTGTAGCTGCCTTAATATATGAAAATTTGATTCTTTACCAATTATAATATACTTCGGTATATGCGTGAAGTTTTGATGAATGGCGGAGAGAGAGAGAGAGAGAGAGAGAGAGAGAGAGAAGAGGGGGGAGGGAGGGTACTTTAATACTTCTTCTGATCGTATTTAGGGACACATTTGCCGATTTGTAAATGGTCCTTTGGAGATGATGTGCTTGTAACATAATATATAAAATCCAATTTTATTCAGTCGAGAGTTAATCAACATGTTATTAATATGATTTTGCAATCACTAAAATAAATTTTAATTTGTAATCATATTTTTATTTACTTTGAAGATTTTTACGCTGATGCAGCAATCCCTACTGTCGTATAAAAATCTGTTTAAGTTAAAGTAAAAGAATTTATTGTGAGATTTACAATTGTCGATTAACTTTTCGTGTATACTAATTTTATATTTACTACTTATACGTATTTGTTAAACTGTTTATTTGAATTTAGAAACAGAAATGCTTGACACAAATTGCGTTTGATGTCAAAGGAATATTTAGCAACGACAATTCTATCGGTTTAAGGGTAAGGTAAAAATTTTTGAATATCAAAAATTTAGAATAAATAATTTTGTTGTGTTAACGCTTTTTTTTTTATATATAATTATAGTCGTACTGTTTAGTGAACTGATTTAAATTTAAATCCAAATGCAACATTTAGTTTTTATTAGACTATTTGCTTTCAGTCAAAATAAACTACGAATGATAGATAGCGATGAGTTATTACACATAATAAATATAAACAAAATTCATACTATATATATATATATATATATATATATACAAAGAATTTGAAAATATTTTTATTGATATTTTAAGAATTTCGATTATTTCTTTTTAATAAAGAATTGCAGTTTATTAATTATTTATAAATAAATACTACTTATTTTTATAAGAAAAGTGGTAAGTGATTTTTCTATTATTATACTGTCGATTATACGATATTCTATTTGATTTTAGGCGATAAATAATAATTTCACGACTTTATTGTAATTTGGGTGTATAAAAATTTTGAAATTTTTTTCAGCAATTTTAAACGCTTCCGTTTGTTCTATGCAAAGACATATTATAACATAAAGTATTATTTAAGTATAAAAATTTAAATAATGCAGCGATGCGATTATTTAGAATGATATGCAAGTAAATAAGTAAACAAAAAATTTATTTATTTATTTAATGTTTGGTAAATACTTTTATTTCTAAATGTTTTATTTTTAAAAAGTTATTTTTAGACATTATTAATATCAATGAGTTGCAACGCGAACAATTTATTCATCTCTTAGGATTATAATAATTTATATTTAAACAACTTAATATTAAGTGAAATTTCAATCAAAATCGTATTTATTGTAAATTCATATTCGAGGTAATTTTTCATTTCAATTCAATCAGTATTTCTTCATGTATGTTATTATCTTTAAGCGTGTCGTTAATTTTTTTTTTTTTTTTTTTTTTTTTTTTTTTTTTTTAATGAATTTGCTCATTCCAGTACAAAATGCTAATGAAAATTGATTTACAAACGATTAAACATTTTAAATCTTTTACAGGAGTTAATAAATAAATATTTCAATGTCCACTTAGCTTTTGTCAGACTGTATGCTGCTAGCTACAATGCATAATCAATCGCGAATTGCATATGATGTGAACGCCGCGGTTTTGCATCGATTTTAAATAATTTGCAAAATGCAAGGCTATCTATAGGGAAGTCTGTTGATAACATGATTTTCTATGTATAAACATATAATTTATAAATATAAATCACATGAATTACGATCTAATAATACTACTCATTATTCATATAAAATTAACAGTAAGCGATTAAAGTATTGGGAATATATTTATAAAGTCTTTATCGTTGAAGAAATATCGTTTGGTTGCAAGTGCAATTAGTGAAGGGTAAGTAGCTACTTACCTCGTAGAAAATTGAGAGAAAAGTTATAAAAATAATGCTCGATTTTAAACGTAGGAGTGCTTATTAATAACTGACTAGTATAATTGATGTCGTTAATTATTATAATCCTATTTTAATATTATATTTTTTTCATACAATATGCAATACGTTATTCAATATGAAGTTCCACTTAATGTTTTTCATCCGAATTTGAATAAATTTTCCGATTAATTTCTATGGTAGGCATCGTTATTTTAATAATTATTAATGAAATTTCTCATTAAAATTTATCATTGCTCGTAATGTAAAAATGTTCATTGATGCGCTTTGAATACGAATTACAAACAACCAAGAATTAGAAGATTATTAATAAATAATACGCCCGTTAATATTTTGTTCGCATAATGTAATGCGTATTTCTGTTCGTTATAAATTCATTAAATAGATATTGTTTATTATTGACCGCTATAACATTGTGGAATTAAATTTAAATTGTCTTTATATTTGAGATTCTTTTGTAATTTAAAGAAATACAAATTTAAATATTTCACATGAGCAGGGTACATCACATGTACTTTATATCGTTAAATTTCCATTGGAAATTCTTAACAGTAAGAAAATCAAATAACACTAAATAGTGAAAATTTTCACATTACATAATTTCATATTCAGGAATTAAATAATTTCCTTCAACCTTTCCAATTTTCTTGTGAATAATTATCATTGAAGAATACTTTACTTGGTTAATCAAATACTTTTCAAGTGGGGCAGAAATAAAATTAAAATTTTACATGCAAATGTGAGGAAATATCGTTGATCGTTGATTAAAAAAAAAAAAAAAAAAAAAAAAAAAACAGTAAAAGAAGAAAAAATGAAGCAACTTTTAACATTTAGTCTACATGTGGTTGACGTAGCAGTTTCTTCGAGTTGTGATTGGACGAATTGATTTTATGCCGCTCGGCGAATGCCGCACGTCCAAATCATCTAGCTCGAAAGTAGCCCAAAGAAGACATATGTCTCGGGGACAGAGATATTGCATGTCGTACAGTCAGTTGCTTTTGCAGCAGTGTAAATAAAATGTCAAATGTCTTGTGTGAAGTATACAAGTTAGCAGCATTGCGTATCAGAATGTGGCATTTACGCGGGATTCTTAAATTTCTTGTTTGAATGTCAAATGTTGGATATGGATCGAATGATTTTTCGATGAGTCTAATAAATACGCAAATACTCTTCTCTTGCTGAACTTGTGAAAAATAGATAAAACAGATGAACTCTCGTTATTAGATAAAATTTCAAAAGACCGATATATATACATATACATATATATATATATATATATATATATATATATGCTTGTTGGTTTGCTTATTAAATTTCATGCGCAACACATAAATTCCGAAGATAAAAGTTAAAACGATTGGTAAAAATATAAGTTAATCGTCAAAAAGGTAATTTATTCAACATTCTTGTTAAGACATCGACATTCTAAATATTTTGTTTCAATATTTCGTAATTATGGCCAGTAGCATTGGAGTTTATTTTATTTAATTATAATTTTCTTAAATTATGTGATGTCATATAAAATGACACGAGTTAAGTTATAGGGTCACTGAATGAGATTTTGACGGTATTTTTCCATTATATTAGATCGAATTTTTTTTTTTTACTTATCTTCCATAAAATCAATTGGATTTATGAGATATGTTATTATAATATAAAAATTATCTACGAGATAACATATTCTATATATTTTTATACCGTGTCTATCGATGGACTTGGAATTATTTGTAAAGAAAAAGCAATAATTTTACTTATGAAATTTCTAAAAAAATATTAATAATTTGTCCTTTAATGGCCATGTTCGTCGAAAATGTAATAAAAGACACTAGCAGGTTGTTTTACAAAGATTTGTTTAATCCATTTGGCGTTTAATGGATCTTTGCACTTGCCAAAAGTAATAATACTACGCGAGGATAAACGAGGATTAGTAGAAAGCAATGACGTAGTAGCTGTAATAAAAATTTGCTTCTATAATTAATAAATAAAGCCAATGTGATCTTACTGGACAAACGTGCGACATGCATAATAATGTACACACGCGCACTCGTGCATACACAGCCGCACATGAAACCTAACAGACACGCGCAGAGAGACAGAGACAGACAGAGAGAGAGAGAGATAGAGATAGAGAGAGAGATAGATAGATAGATAGAGAGATAGATAGATATAGAGAGAGAGAGAGAGAGCTTACGGGAAAGGAGAGAGAAAGAGAATAAAAAAAAATAAATAAATAAAAAAAGCAAAATAAAATTCGATTAGTAATTATTCGATGAAATTAGTCGACGGAGTAAATCGTTGCGTATTCTTTTAAATTTCCAGTGTTAAAGAAGGCAACTCGTGTGTGACGCGGTCGGTAACGGGAGGACTCGTGTCCCGTAAGCCGACCGTCATAATTGCAATACACGTAACAATGGTCTCCACTCGAGCGCGGCAAATCATTGTCCGCGGCTCGAGCGTGCCGCGCTGAAGTACGAGAAGAGGCGGATCGGGTCAGCGCGCGAACAGGATCGCGTGGATACGTACACGATCCCCTAAAGACATGGCTTGGGATGTCTTAGGCCATTTGTCGGTTCGTGCCTTCCCCGCCCTTCCGGAGCTTCTCTAGCTAACAACTCATTCGCAGATCGCGTCCTTGTATCCCATAGCAGCATCTCGACACCAAAAACTAACGGCAACATCAACGGCAAACTTCCGCACCTCACGACGAGTCGCGACTCGCGGCGGATGTGCCTCCGAAGAAAAGGACGCCGCTAGCGGCCGGCGGCTCCGGGCCATTGCAGCGCTAGTAAGGAGGTGGTGGCTGTGGTGGTGGGGAGTAGCAGCAGCAGCAGCAGCAGCAGCCGCAGCAGCCGTAGCAGCCGTAGCAGCACCATCACGAGCAGCAGCACCAACAGCAGCACTATCAGCAGTAGCAGTAGCAACAACCAGCAGCGGCAGCAACGGCGATAAAATCGGCCAAAGTAGCGGCAACAGCAACGGCGTCCGGCTCGCTGGACCTAGGTCGGCGTGGTGCCCCTCGCTTCGAGCCCCCGGCGCAACGCGGCCACAACGGCCAGTGAGCGTGTGCTGAGCGGCGCGCGGCGGCATGTTCCTCCGCAGCCCCTCGCGCATGCGCGGCTCAGTTTACAGTTGGAGCTCGGACGAAAATGGCGTCAGCTAAGTTCCTTGAGGAAGCCCTCAGCACGGACGTCGACGAATCCGCGGTGAGCGCCATCGTCGGCTCCCTCGAGACCCAGCTCGTAACGAGCGCGACGACTCAGCCGACGATCGCCGGTCAGCAGCAGAGTCCGAGCCCGGCCCAGCAACAGCAGAATCACCGGAGTAACGGCTCCTCCGCGGCAGCGGCCGCCGCGGCCACGGCTCTACCTGCCGCCACAACCGCACAGCAGCCGCAGAAGCAGCAGCAGCAACAGCATGTCACCAACGGCACCAGTAATAACAATAGTAACGGCAGCAGCGGCAGCAATAACAACAATAACGGCGGCAACGGCAACGGCGGTGGTGGTGGCGGGAGCGGTGGTGGCGGCAGCGGCGGCAGCGGCGGCGGCGGCGGCGGCGGCGGTGGCGGTGGCGGTAACGGCGGCGGCGGCACCAGCAGCGATAGCGGCAACGGCGGCAATGGTACGAGCACCAGTGGTCAGAGTCAAATGGTCAACAATATGACCGCAGCCACGGCGCAGGAACTCGTCAAGGCGACACCAACGCCAACCAGCACCACCAACAGTGGCCAACTCGCCCTCTCCAATGTCAATGTCGTTACCTGCAGCGGTACACAGCAGCAGCAGCAACAGCAGCAACAGCAACAAGGTGGTCAGATCCAGGTTCAGGCCATGCAACAACAGCAGCAGGCACAGCCACAGAGTGGGCAACCACAGCAGCAACAACAGCAGCAACAACAACAACAACAGCAGCAGCAGCAGCAGCAGCAGCAGCAGGCCACATTCATCAATCAAGTGACGAGCAATCAGGTTACCAGTAATCAGAACAACCAACTTACGGCGTTGGCCAAGGTCCAAGGAGAGCATGTGAAGATTGTTTATCCTGGTAGTGGCCAGGTTATCGCAACCACGGGCATTGTCAATGCTAACAATAAATTAACGTTTCCGACACAAAATGTGGCTCAATTGGCCAATGGTACGCTGGGTGTCGTCACCACCCAGACCGTGCTTCAGAGCACATCTAACGCAGTGAGCAATGTTTCGGGAACACAGACTACTAATCAAGCCACGTTAAACGTCAATAAACAAACTGCTTTGGTTATTAAGACTAGCGTGGCACCCGGTGGCATGGTTTCCGTCCCTATGTCAGTCCCAGTCACGGTTGCCGCCAATATGACTAACACGGCGCAGCAGGCCAAGGCTGGTGTCGCTTCCGCAATAGTGCCCAGTAACGTACAGATACTCAATGTCAATGCTATGCGGCCAGGCACACCAGTGACTGGCCAGCAGGCAGGTAAACAAGTTGCTTCTAGGGTCGTCATCGGCCAGCATATGATGGGAGGACGAGCGGGAGCCCCTGGGGTATGTCCTGTATGACAAGCTTCACATTTTATTAACAAACTAACAGGCTTTTTGTGCGCTGTCACTTGGTTGATTGTGTAGTGCTTAACGCTGGTCTAGATTTCAGTACATATTTACATAAATAAGTATAACCGTTTGAGAAATTTTGAATGCAGGTGAAAAGTAGTTATTATACAATTATATTAATAGAAATTGAATTTAATTAAAAGTAAACGAATGCTGTACAGTCAAAACAAAGTATATTTCATTTATAGTCACCAATTTATTAATATTTCTTCAGTTTCTTTATATGAGTATTTATTAATTGCAAATGAACAATTATCCTTATATTATTTATTTTCCTAATTTAACACGATTTTATATAATTTTATCATTAAATTTCGATTTACCTTACACCCAGATATATAAAAAATTCTAGATATTTACTGAAATTCAGATCAATCAATGAAATATCCTCTTCAAATAATAAGCTTGCGATAATGGATTCATTTATCATTTACTTACATTAGCTTACAACTCTATGGGTCAATACTATGGGTATAATTATGCATTCTCATTTTGTTTTTATTCATCAATTGGAATTTTAACTTTTAATCATGGGACTTTAATGCGTACATAAATTTTTATTCTATCAAAAATATATTGTAGGTTAAAGAAATCAATCCCTGGCTTGGTACTTAGTTAAACTTATTTATTTAGTATTGTACATTATAATTTAGTTTAATTTATAGTTAAAGGATACAAAGGATAAAAAGGATTCAAGGATACATACATTGATTTGTACATGGTTAATATAATTAAATATAACCATGATTAATAATATTGTAATACAAAATATGCATACACACACACACACATATATATATATATATATATATATATAATATGCACACCTACGTATATATATGCATAGGTATATATATATATATATATATATATATATATGTGTGTGTATGCATATTAGTGCGTTCGTGTTTATGTATATGTTTTATGGTGTTTTAAATATTAAAAAATTAAATAATATTTTAAGGATTTTATTGTTTAGTGAAAATTTATTACAATTATAAATACTTTACAAATGTCTAGATTGTAATGAATAATAATTTTAGGTTAGGTTACTTATATTTGTTTATTTATGCTTATTAACTAAAAAATGCAGTGCATAAAGTTACATCATTAAAACAATTTTAACCGATATTATATTATTAATGTATTTTAATTATTTTATTTAATTCTAAACATTTTAGCGTGATGAATAAATCAATTGCTAAGTTAACTTTTTAATAATTAAATGAATAGAGTAATGTACTATTAGATTTAATGTATTAATTACATTTAAGCTTGATTTTTTCATAAATATAAATTTTCAACTAACTTATCTTCTTTTATATGATAATAATTTCAAATATATATATATAATTTTGTTTTTGAACTTTGTTCTAATTTAATCGATATCGTTCTAACCATTTTTAATACATTAGATTTATTTCAAATATGGAATATAATATATTCTATGAATACATAGTGATTTAATTGTGGAATATTTAATTACAAATTATATTCAACTTTCTGGTATTATTAATAACATAAAATTATTGATTAATCATATTATTGTTATTTATCTATTCACTTTGTAATTTAGTCAATATATATATATATATATATATATATATATATATATATATATATATATAATTAGTGCTATATTATTGACAATGAAATAATTATTAAAAATTTAGGCATTTGTTATTAAGCAAAGATAGCTTTGCATTAGTTATCCTGATACTTGGAATGATAATTTGCTATTTGCAATAATAATTTATTATTTTCAGATAACGCTACAGGCTCTCCAGGGTTTACAAGCTGGTACTCAAGGCCACCTATTACTGAAGACAGAAAATGGTCAATTTCAACTACTAAGGGTGGGACCAGCTCCAACTCCTGGTACTCCTGCAGGAACAGTGACTCCTAACAGTATTGCAGGGAATGCAGTGGTAGCTTCACCAAGTGCTACAGGCACAACGTATCGTCTAGCCTCATTGCCAGCTGTAAGTAGGCTAAACGCACAGTTCACTGGTCCACCACTCGCCACAATAAGAAAACCCATTCAGGTGACGCACATTCATACCTCTTAGGAGACTCGAAGTAGCCTCTTTGTAGACGTTTTATTGGTCTCTGTTAAAAAAATTTTATTTTGGAATGCTGTAATTAAGTAGATTTTTAGTTTGTCAATTGGTGGTCACTTAGCATTAAAATTATGAATAGCTTTTTATTTATAAGTCGTATATAGCAACAGAAATTCATGAATTTTGTAAATTTGTAATTTATAGAATTTTATGATTACTTAATGTTTAATATGAAGTAGATTTTGTAGTGTTGATGTAATTCAATTTATGCTATATTTGCTTAATTATAAATGAGTTTTTTGTAATATAATTGAACGTAAGTTAATATACAGAATTAAATCAAATTTAAATATATAGATAATATAATTTCTATAATGTTGGTTTATTAAGTATCGCCAAAAAAAGTATTTAGTCATACAAATATACAATATGCCAATAATTAGTAAATTATGCACGATGCGTTAGATCCATTTCACCAATGTTTAAAGATTCATTTTAAATAATGCCAGTGGTTAAACATAGTTGAATACATAAATTTATATGGTAAAATTTGAATTTAATAAAAAAGATGATGAATTAAAATTCAGTGGCCACCAATTATGTTTTTTTAATTTGCCTTATGGAAGTTCATAAGTTTGAATAAATTTCTTGTATGTCGGTAGTATTAGATACATTAAATCGAATCTAAATAAAGTATTAAAATAAAGTATAAAATTTGTAATAATTATCTATTAATAGCTGGTCCACAATCTTTATGTGAGTATCAAAAGTGAAATGAAAAGTAAAAGTTTTTTTTGAAAAGATATATGGTTAAAGCATATTTCTTGTAACGATAGATTTAAAATTATATACATTAAAAAACAATTTGAAATACCTTGAGTCATCAATGAGATAACCATGCATAGCGCATCAAACTTTTTATAAAAGTATGCATGATAAGTCTTTAAAATTTATATTTAAATTTTTCATATCAACTCTTTTCATTTGAATAGCTTTAGTTAATAAATGTAGCAAGATATTATAGAATTATAAACAATTGTCGTTTCTACCATTTTTTATCATTATTTTGCATGCTATTATTTCTAAGTTTGTAGTATAAACATACGTTATTCAATTATCAATCAAAATAAATTAATCAAGGACTATAGCTACAAGAAATAATTTTAAATAGTGCTTGCATGCACCCAGTAATGCACAATATTATACATTTGTAAAATTGAATTCATGGAATAATTCACACTTCAATATTATTTGAAGCATCTAAAAAATTAATTTGAAATTAATTAAAATAATATTACGAACTATTAGAAATTTAACACAATTTATCCAATATTGCAGTTATTAAGTAATGACCAATAAAAAATTTTAAGCTATACACAGCACACAGTCCGTTAAACTATGAAAACTACGAGTCTTTATAAGGTAAAAGTGCGTTAATAAATTAAGGCAACATGAAATAAAATTATGTCATATATATACATTCATATCGACAAAAATTGAAAAATACAAACTATTAAATACACGTGCAAAATGCATGCAGAAATTGTTATGTATGACTTTGTAGTTGATTGAATGTTTTAATTTATAAAAATATTAAATTAATTTAATTAAATTTATGGTTAGAATACATCTCTTGGAGACTCCTTTTTAATCAAAATAGTTTGAACCAAAGCTGAAAAATAAATTAATAATTTCCATTTGTCAATTCTGAAATATTAGAAATACATTTATCGTTTTAATTGTACAGAATCATAATTTATACAAAGTTCGCATATTAAATATATAATGTTACATAAGAAAATAAAATTAATTTGTGTAAATCTAAACTACCACTTAAAAGTAACAAGTGCTTTTAATGAAATATTCTAGCCATAAATAAAAGTTTTTTATTATTCATTATCCTATTAAAATAATGCGAATATTTTTATTTAATATAGACTGTAGCTCCAACTGTAACTACCACAACTGTTACTCCCGTAACTTCAACTATTGTTGCTGCGACTACTACAGCACCAACGCCAGTTGCTACACCTGCTCAATCGACTGCGTCTCCAACCCAGGTAAAAGTAATAAAAATCTTTTTATATAATCAAACCCAGTTATAGTATTGATATTTGAATAAAATAAATATTATATTATGCCAATAAGTAATATAATTACAGTATATTATAATATTTGTCAATAAGGATTATGTTTATTTATAAAATACATGTTCTTCAAAATACAAAATTATGATTATATACTGTAGTCTGAATTTAGTAATGAACCTAAAACTTAAAGTTTTATTTATTTCATTCAAGCATTAATATTTAACTTGGGTTTTAAAGTATTTAATAAATGCAAAAGTTTCATTTGGATTTTATTGTTATGAAATTGTAGCGACAAACCACAGATAATACCAAAGAAAAGTGCCGTAAATTCTTAGCAAACTTATTAGAGTTGTCTAGTCGAGAACCTAAACATGTGGAACGAAATGTTCGGACGTTAATACAAGAATTAATTGATGTTAAAGTTGAGCCAGAAGAATTCTGTGTTAGATTAGAAAAATTGTTAAATGCATCTCCACAACCGTGTTTGATTGGGTTCCTTAGAAAAAGTTTACCTCTTTTGCGTCAATCACTCGTCACTAAAGAATTGGTTATTGATGGGATACGACCACCACCAGCCAATGTTGTTTTTTCAATAGCCTCAGGAACACCAGTTGTCACACAGGTTAGTAGCTGACACTTGTGTACATTTAAAAATAGTTTTTGGAAGTCAAAATCCATTACAAATTGTTTCAGATGAATTATATGTTTAAGCTGCATCCGAAATATCATTTGAAATCAATTTTTTTTACAAATTATTTTTATAAATAATCATGAAAAAATATACTATTTTAGTCGATGTTTTTTATTAAAATTTTATTTATTAAGCTATTTTACAAAGTATTTTTAATGAAATACATATATATAATTTTTATTATAAATTGATAACACAAGTGAATTGTATTTTATTATACAATTGTATTCTAGATTTTAATTAAAAAGTATTTCTGTAGCAAAACCAAATTAGGCCAACTGTAGCTGTAGCACCTGCGGCATCAACAGCAACACCTTCACCGACACAAGTTGTTGCATCTCCAGCTACTATTGCTGTGACGCCAACGGCAACTACTCAAGTGCGAGTAATGGCACCTCTTACAGGAGTCACAAATATGCCAAGACCTCCACAACCAATGGTTCAACAAAGGCTGGTAAGAGTCAATATAAAATTTGTCGTTATTTGTTAATATTTGAGAAAATATGCAAAAAATTATCAGGAACTTTAAAACTTGAAAACAAAATTCGTTTTTCTTAATATTTCAAAGAAATAAAAATAAGTACAAATTAATATTTTTATTAGCATTACATATATTTCATTTTTAGTTGATTATATTTTATAAGATTGTAATAGCTACAAGATTTGGTTACCTAATTAAAATCGTGACAATTGATTTGTACTAGGATATATTGTTTAAGATATTTAATTAAAATGTTTCATTGAGCTTTTCTTTAAATTAATATCAAAATACGTTTTCAGTAAAACCCACTGTTCAATATATGTTAAAGTAAAAAAAAGAAATATAAATTCATAAATATTTTTCACGCGTGTCTTGAACAATTTATTTTAACTTAAGTACATTGAATATATTAACATATTTATATTCTTATTCAAGAATCATTGAAAAATATTTATCTTGTATGTATAATAGATTTCAAACAAAACTATAATCATCAGCCTTTTTACATTTTTCTTATTTTATTAATAAAAAATTGATTCATTTATTTATTACGTTTATAATACATTCTTAAAAATTGTTTTATTTAACATCTTAGATGGTTTTGTTTGCTATCTTCTCATAATGCAATCATGAAATTAATAAATGTACTTGTATATTGCGTATACGAAAACATTTTATTTGTATTTTTAAAGAATTTGCAAAAACCAGTGACGGCTTCCTTTAACAAAAAAGTAAATATCTCAATCATCATCGTATGCCATTGTCTTGTATTGCACGTTTATATAATCTAATTAAAACATTACCTCATGTTAGCTATTTCGGACATTCGACTGATACTTAATATATTTATTGTTAAGTATTTATCTAATAAATTAATTCGATTAACTCATCTTAGAATTAAAAAAAAATTTTTTAAATAATTCATTACTAATATTTTTTAAAATCATTTTAATATGTAAAAACACAGTAAAGGTTTGGAACAGAACACGTATATAGAAAAGCAGAACTATTAATTATTATTAATTATTAAGATTAAAAGTTGATAAACAATTTCACAAAATCTAAAAGAATATTGATTTTTTTTTCTTAATACATTTTATATTAATAAAATTCAAGATGTTGATTAAAATCATTTTTTACTTTTCAATAGTTTTTCCGATAGATTTTTAATAATTATATTATACGTATATATTGAAATAATGTTTGACTTATACATGAAAAATCTTTATTAATCAGATATCGAAGATAAAATAAGTATAAATTATTAAGGAATTTCATTGTTAGAAATTAGCTTTATAAAAAAAAAAAAAAAAAAAGTTTCTTACAAATTAGATAAATATAAAATATAATTAATTAAGTAGTAATAAATGAAAGAAATATAAATAATAGTATTAATAATTTTCTTAGGGTGGTGTAAAAAACCTTCATACATGATAATAGACATGTAGACATGAATTTTAATGAATGAAGTGTATGTGTGTGCATAAGGAAGGAGTTAATGTTAGTTGTCTTCTGCTGCAATTAGATGACATTATCTGCTACTGCATTTCTTTCTTATTTATCAAATTCATTTGATAAGAATGCATGTTAACCTTCAGCATTTGGACATAGCATACTTTTCGCCGAAATTACTCTATCAGTTTCACGTTAATGCACGTAGCTTTGTGAGCATGTAGCTTCAATGCCATGATATAATTATTGATGTTGAATGCATATGTATTTTCTTCGAGGAATTGGTTTATTTTCAGTCAATTAACGATCCGATAAATTTTTAAAAATTGACTTTGTATACTTTTTATATCTACGTTATAAATGTTCGTTTATTTTCGCAAATCATATATATATATATATATATATATATATATATATAAGCACACACAAGCATCCATAAACACAAACTCACTAATACCATAATTGAAAATTTTTTAAAATACATTCTAGTGAATATTTTATTAAGTGAATATTAAATATCATTCAATGTATAAGATAAAATTCAAAGATAAAATTGAAATTCTGTAAGAATATTATTTTTAATGTAAATCGCTAGTTTTTTTTTCTCTTTAAATAAACGTTTCAAAGAATAATTGGAAAAAGCGAAGAATAAATTTAAAAAAAAAAGAAGTTTTTATCCTTTTGCATTTATTTAGAAATAACCATTATTTTTAAACGAATGAAAAGGTTTATGAGCGATTTTATATAATTGATCATGCAACAAAAGTTGTAGTGTACGAAGTAGGATAGAATATTCGTTACAATCATACGGAAGAATAATTATTTCATTCGATATAGTGATTTGAGCGTATAATTTCAGTAATTATTTAACCGTGTGTAATAGTTAAATAGGTTTAGACGATTAATAGTTTTACAAAATTGTTTTTTATTATTCAATATTATAATGTTATTCGTAATTTTTGCTCTTTAGCTATCTTATATATAGCCCTTAAAAAAAAATAAATTTTTTTTTTACATTCGATAGTAGCCCGATTAATATAAACGTGTATAAATAAAATTTTCAATTGCTATATTTGATAAAAACTCACCCTGATAATCTCGCACAATCTTTCATTTACGTTTACATATCTTTCTAAATTCTTAACAGTACAATATATATTTTATTTAACAATCCTAGTTTATTAGAAGAATGATTATTATCGCTATTATTGCACTTTGAAAATTTGAAAAAATGATTATAAATTTTACGAAATTTGTTTACGAATGCCCCATTAGTATTTTTAGATTAATTTATTCATTATTAATTTTTCATTTTAACATTCATATTTGGCAAGCATTTAAGAATAATTGTTGAAATGCATTCGACACCCAAAAGCATTAGAAATTTATAATATTTTTCTTCAAATTTGGAATTATTTAAGAGGATGTAGAAGCAAAGGTATAAATAGTTTTCGGATAAAAGCAAGATTTTATAGAGCGAAAGAATAATATTTGAATGACCAACAATATGAAATATTAAAAACTTATACTTGAATAGAAACGTATTGGCTTTTCATTTATTTTTTATTATTTACTGTCAAAAAATTCGAGAGACGCAAACAATCTAAACGGCTAAATTCCACCATAATCGAGTGTCAGATATCGCTTTCAATTTGAGGCCTTTTTGTCAATAAGTTTTTCAAATTCGAAATTACAAATCCCGTAAACGTCTGGAATTTTTAGGTGCGTCCGGTGACGACGACTGTGGTGCGCCCCCCGACATCGACTTATGCCGTGAAATCGGGAGCGTTACCCACGGGCTCGATACAGCAACAACAGCAACAACAGCAGCAGCAGCAGCAACAGCAGCAACAGCAGCAGCAGCAACAGCAGCAGCAGCAGCAGCAGCAGCAGCAGCAGCATCAGCAGCAGCAACAACAACATCATCATCATCACCACCACCATCATCATCATCATCAGCAGCAGTCTTCGGTGAGTACAACCGTCAGTAGCGTGAGCAGCGGTGCGAGTATGATTCGACAGCCGACGGGGCCGATCGTCGTGCAAAAGTCATTGCCGGTAACGACAATCGCTAAGACGATCGTCACATCCACGCAAAACAAGACCATCACTACCATCACCACGTTGAACAAAGCCGCAGTGCCTTCCGTACAACCGAAGCCAATACCCAAGGAAAAGGAAAAGAAGACCTTCTCGTCCGCGGGCTATACGTAAGTCATTTCGTTTTTCGGCGGCTTTTGCGCCTGCTTGCGTATATCGTGAGTAGAGTAGTGTAGAGGAAAGGCAAGATAGCAAATGATTAACGCACTAAGACACAATAAACATCATTTAGAAAAATGTTATTCATAATACTGAAGGAACATAACATTTAAAGGGTTATTAATGCACATGGAATCACATAATTTACCAACTATTTTAGTATCTTTTGTAGTTTGTATTAAGTACTATTTTACCATTTTCAAATAGGACTGACTGATGACACTGTGTATTCCTTATTTCGATAATAATATTTTTTAAAAGACTGTTGGCTCAATGTAGAAGAAAGTATTTTTTATGAAGTTATTGAATAATCATCAACAGTAGATTTTCTTTTATTAAAAGAACAATTAATTATTTGTTATTTGCATATCGTTTGTATTAATTTGTATTAATGCGAGCGTTTACAAATTTTATCATTTGATGTAAAATCATTGTAGAGGCGACGATGACATTAATGATGTGGCAGCGATGGGAGGAGTCAATCTGGCGGAAGAATCTCAACGAATCCTTGGATCAACGAAATTCGTTGGAACGCAAATAAGATCGTGCAAAGATGAAATATTTTTGCACATGACACCTTTACAACACAAGATTAACAAAATAGGTTGGTATTTGAAAATAAATTATTCCTATTCTTAAATTGTACAATGAATTTAATGTATTTTTATTTACAGTTACTAGTTATGGCTTAGAAGAGCCCAACCAAGAAGTAGCGTCGTTAATTTCTCATGCAGCACAAGAAAGGTTGAAAAATTTGGTGGAAAAATTGGCTGTTATAGCTGAGCATAGGATAGACCTTGTCAAAGTGAGTATATTCTTAATTATATTGCTTTATATTCATATTTAATTCATATTCTCTTACTTCAATGAAAAATATTCACAAATTTATTACAATATTGTTTGATAAGCATTACAGTTTGGATAAAATTTTTAATGAAAATGCCTTTCATCTGCTTAACACTGTATAATAGCATAAAAATATGTGTTATGTAGAAAATTTATATATAAAAATTATATAAAAACTATAGGAATAGGATTTATGGTCAGTCTTATTTAAAATTCAAGATACAATATTAATAAAAGTTTGATCCTATTAAACATTAAATAATAATTATTGTGACATACTTAATTTATAGGTCGATCCCAGATACGAAGTAACACAGGATGTAAGAGCGCAGTTAAAGTTTTTGGAGGAATTAGATAGGGTGGAACGTAAGAGGCACGAGGAGCACGAGAGGGAAATGCTGTTAAAGGCAGCAAAGAGCAGAGCGAAAACAGAGGATCCAGAACAGGCAAAATTGAAAGCAAAAGCAAAAGAGGTTGGCCCCCCCCCCCCGTTTGTTTGTTTGTTTTTTTTTTTTTTCTATAATTTTTGTATAAAAATCGTTTCGTTTTAATAGATTGTTATATTAAAAATTTTCTTAAACCTTATCGAAATTCATTTTTATATCTCGTAATTTTTAAATAATTCTTTGTAAATGCGATTTTTCATCTTTATCTTTTTCATATGAGTAGAGTAATATCTAAAACAGACTTTTTATTATAAATTTATTATAAATACTTTCAAATGGATGTAGTAGATATTGAACAAGTATTTATTATTCTTGCGTTGGTTATTCTTTTAATAAATAACTTTATGAATGCGAAGAATGTGAGAAAGAGTACCAACAAATTGAGAACGGACGCTCTTGCATGAAAATGACATAAGACAGATGGAAAATAATTCTTCATACCAAACATTCATTTCATTCATCATCAATTCATATCCAACATACCACGATTATTGCGCTTACTTTACGTTTTAGCATCACTTAGACGATGAAATATTTTCGTAATATTGACGTTAATGATATTATTGAAAGTATGCATAAACAGATTCGATATATAAATAACAATTTTGTAAATGTGTCTTTATTAGATGCAAAGAGCAGAGATGGAGGAGGCGCGGCAGCGCGAAGCCAATCAAACGGCTCTGCAGGCAATTGGGCCTCGTAAGAAACCGAAGCTCGACCTTGGCTGTCTGTCATCAAATAGTACTGGCGGTAACGCAGGTCTAAACTCAAGTTCAACGGGCCTTAACCGTCAAATGCCAATGCGACCACGTCTGAAGCGGGTCAATTTCCGAGATTTGCTGTTCCTCTTGGAGCAGGAAAAGGAGACGTGTCGGAGCGTCACCCTCTACAAGTCTTATCTGAAGTGATCCTGCTGTCATCGCCATCGCCGGCATTATCGTCGCCGTAGCCTACGCGAGCAGCTGGCCTCTCGAGTAACGATCGCCCGACGATGATGATGGTTCTACAGACGCGCCTGGGATAAGCGAAAGAACGTTCAGTCCTGGTGTAGTTGTGTTATCGTTTATTTTTCTTTGAAAGCGCCCAAGTCGTCGCCAATAGAGGTGGAGAATTTCTTAGGCGTGCAATAAAAGAAAGGACGTTCGTGTACTTGGTACAGCCAATTGTCGATATTAAGCTTCCCATATATATTTGTAAATTGACTGAGAATAGAGGAGGAACTTTTAAGGTGTATAATATAAAATAGAGATAGAGATAGAGAGAGAATGAAAAAGAGTTTCTTAATTTTTTTCTTTCGTCTTTATCTACTTTGGATTTTCTTGAATCGCGATGTTACGTCATCGAAGAGTCGAGGGACAAAGTAGTGCTCTGGTTGAAAGATTTCATTGAAGGTGCTAAACATTGATAATACATTTCAAATACTTTCCTTGGTTGAGATTGTATTTTCTAATTTAAATCGATCGATTAATTTACCGTGAAAATTATTTGTTGTCGTTTTTACGGAAAATATACATTTATACTATGCATAAGTTGCCGAAATTGAGAACAAATAAAGTGCATTACGTTTAAGTACATTATTTTTGTATTATAAAAAATTGAGAAAGATTAATAAAAGATAAATTCTACATTAATTTCTCATATTCCTACTAGTGTATTTATCGAATGAAATTTATATCGTGAATTTATAATGATAATTGAAAATGCCGAGATAAATATTTAACTAAAGGGATGTATTCTATAATTATGACTGTTTTTATTTAAAATTTATCCGATTATCATGAAATAAGTACAATTATAAAATACGATCGATCAATAATCGCTAATAATTGAAAAGGAAAAACAAAAACAAAAAAACAAAAAACAAAAAAAATACATAGCTCCTGTTATTTACCGTAATTGTTCAAGGTTTTTATAAACGAATATAATTTTAAGTCAAGATCATTTTTAGCTTTAGTATAAAATACAAATTTAAAATAAATATGTCGTATTTAAATGTAATCCTCAAACAAATATCATAGTCTTTATACTATTAATAAATAAAATATTTTATATCTCAACTAAAAGCAATCAATTGCGGCTTTATTATAAATTATCATTTAATTGTTTTCAATGAAATTTTTCAATTAGGGTAAAAAAAACAAAAAAACAAAAAAAAAAAACAAACAAAAAAACGAGGCATTCGTTGTACCAGCTTTTACCAACCAATTTTAACCTCCTCATCAGGAAGTATGAAAATATTTTGAAATAATAAGTGAATGCTTCACGAGTCATTGATGTATAAAATTATGAGTAGTACATGTATGTATCCCCAAAAGCGATGTATGCGGTTCGGTCACAAAGTGCATGTTCTCATTTTTTTTTCTTCATTTTTCTCTGATAAATTAAGCTTTTTGAAACTCTATGTTTTCATTATTTGACATGTACTTTTGGACACTAGTGTAAGCTTTAGCTTTCTTTTAAAAGAAAACAATATATTTTTCACTTGTACTACGAGCCAGGAGCACATTGTCCAAAAAGTATAAATATATTATTTGTACTATTTTATTTGATAATTTAATTAGTTAAGAATCATTGATTGTTTTAGTCGATATCAAAGAATTTTCAGTCCATAGGACTATTGTTATTAGTATATCGTGTTGTATTTATCCATTATTACTATTCATAAATGAAAAAAATACATTGTTATGTCTCTTTTTTACAAATTGAGAAAAAATTAATTTACCAGCAAAAGCAAAAAATTCTTATTTTTAACAAATTCAGTAGAATAATTTAAGTTTGATTCCTTGTGATCGTGCGGCATAATTTGTGGATCTCACAAGAAATGGTGCAGACTTGTGATTTCATGCTTAGTAACGGAGAAGAAAGAATTGTAAGATCAACAGATATGAATCCATGAAGAAAGCGTGTACCTGATTTGTGTGTAACAATGGAGTCGCTATATAATTGTAATACTGATGCCTAATGTCGCCCAGATAATTAAGGAGGATTAATTATTTTATAATGATACGGGAAAGAAGAAGAAGAAGAAGAAAAAAATTTATTCATTAGGCTCCTCAAACTCAATTCGCTTTCCTTCCAATTGTTCCATCTAGATCTTAATCGACGTCATTTTTTTTTTTTATAATGTCCGTTCTAGCGCTAAATAATTATAAATCAAAATGCAGAAAGGACAAAAAGGGGAGAAAAATGATTCACAAAGTGATAAAATGTAATAGAAATAATCATTATTTTGTAAAAAGAGAATTTGTATTTTTCTAAGTTGTAAATACTGATTCTGAAAAATCTTAAACATTGCATTGCTAATAAAAAGATGTTTTTTTTTTTTTTTTTTTTTTTTAAATATCATATTATTACTGTAAAACAAGGAATTTCATTAGTAATCCATGATTATTGTTAGTGAAAGGTATTGAAAGTATTGAAAGGTACATTCAGCTGAAGCTTATAGTAAATAATTTAATAGTCAATAGAAGTAAGAATTCTACATTGATGTACAATTTATTTTACGAGCTTCCTCTGATACAAATCTAAAACAACTTTTCAAAAATAACGGAATAAATAATTTTTTATACTATTTTTATGGTCATTTATGAAATATATATTATGTTAAAGAATATAATTTGTATTTCGTTTATTTAACGTAAGAAACAGTAATTACGATTCAGAGATAAACTAATTTTCTTTATAAAATTTGTAAAATTAATTTATTAAATATCTGGATCCTAAAAATATTCATTGACTCATTTATCCATTTCGCGTAAGCGTTTACGGTCTTTGTAATATATTGTACAGCGACGAAATTTTTTACATGTACAGAAATAAAAATAAAAATAAAAAAAATGGAAAATATCAAAAATTATGAAGAATAGCAAAGCAAAGGCAGGCTACTCGCTGATGCGATTTTTTATTTAATAGTGGAATGACTATTTGACAGTATAAAGGAAATTTATTGTCACAATGTAATTGTAAATGAGAGACGGATAGAAATACGTTTAAAAATAAAAAAAAAAAAAAAGAAGCCTGTACGTAAATGTCGCGAAATTCAGCGACGTTCATATTATGTAGGATTAGGAAGAGACGTATATGCTTCCTTGCGCACGTCTTATTGGCAAGCATTCTTTAATTCTTTATTATTATTATTATTATTATATATATATATATATATTTTTTTTTTTTTTTTTTTTTTAATTCAAACAGTGACACAGTTCGTTTATTACGACATAGCGCATAATTGTATTTATAATAATAGGAACGTTGAGGGGTCGACAAAGCAGAATATTATAACTAGCCGTAGTTGAAAGACATTTTCTAACGTGTGAATCTCGATTGATTCATAAATACACGATTAGCGAAGAGAAGTTTCGTTGTGTATCCAGCCGTATTGTAAATAAATCGGAAACTTTTGCTGTAAATTATTTTGTGCATAAGCTGTAAGGAATACTGCAATGTTATATAGAAACTTTTCGTTTCCTCTCACAAACGAATCTTCTGTACATAGTTCATATTTGCCTTTGCCTTTAAGAATTGCGTCTCAGAAAAGAAAAACGAGGACTGTATCATAACTATACGTGTAACAAGGGTTTTATTACTCCATATTTCTTGTTTTCCTTTTCATTGGAAGAAAGGGGTGATGCGTTCTTTTCCTTTTAATATATATATATATATATATATATATTTTTTTTTTTTTTTTTTTGCTTCTGCAGTCGCGAGCCTTGTCTGCGTTTTTATTGTTTACGTCGAATATTGTCTCGTGTGTACTCGAGACGTAATAAAAATTGTCTCCTGAAACAACCACTATAGTGGGGTTTCATTAAGTATATGAAAAGGATTTAAAAAAATGTATAAAGTTACGGTATAACAGTTTTGGTACTGTATGCTATTTTTACAAAGTGTATTGATTAAGCAGTAGCTTAGAGAAAATTAATAAACACAAAAAAGTTCCAACAGTGACGATCACTTTAGTGGTCATGTATTTTATTCTTTTTTTTTTTTTTTTTATATATATATATGAAAGTCTCTGTGCTCTTTGTACATATACATTTTTGTTTCGTTAGCTCTTTATGTAAATTTTCTTTGATATTCAAAGTTGTTTTTTTCGTAATAAAATTCTATAAAACATATGGCACTACTACGTTTTACTTGCAATTTGATTTAAAAAGATTAAGACAAACTAACAATAAAATTTCGTATAGAATAATGTGTTTATGTATATGTTTATGTATGTATGTGTATATATATATATATATATAAACAAACCGTTACTTGATTATGGCATTTATTTTATTTTCAATATTAGTCGAATTTTATTGAAATATGCGATATAAAGGATTTACTAACGATTAAGGAACAATTTTATTTGTAAAAATGAAGCATGATTAAATTATCGGTTCAAATGTAACGAATTTTGTAAGAAAAATTCATAAAATCTTTTCAAATAATATTTTATTCAATTACATTTATTATTTATTAGCATTGAAGTAGGAATTTCAAAGTATTTGATTCTTAATTTTAATGTATTTTAGCGTCGAGTCTTACACGCTTTAAATTTAATCGGCTCCTATTAACATTTACATTATAGTTTATATAATTTAAACATTCGTTCACTGATGAATCTTAGTAAGGCGTAGACTATATAAGTTAAAGGCAAAGTTTGTTTTTTCACAATATAGGAAATTTATTTTCAATAAACATTGAGTATTATTTAATATAATAGATATTATAGCTTGTAGTACATTTTCTTTTTTTTTTTTTATCGGAATCAAAAATAAAACTAATATTTCTAATCGGGATATAAAATAGTGGTATATTCATTTGAAAGTCAAATGGTAAAATTTTATAATCCATTTCTCTTTAAAAGATATCGAGTTCTTGACTTCACGAATAAGTTGTACTTGGGCATCATAGAGGGAAAATAACAGTTATTGCGAATTTACGTTTTGCCAAACATTATAATTAATTTTAAATTCTATACTAGTCACTCTCCACGATACTTTACGTTTCAATTTTATTAATTTAAAGTATTTGGGTAGGATTCGTTGAAATAAAGTAAAAAGAAGCGGTGAAAATTAATGTTAATATACATTTTCTTGTACACTGTACGAAAAGTATACATATACCGTATTTTCATTTTGAATTAATTATTCAAGAAATAGTGACTAAATTCAGTTTTTTATCGGTATAATTTTGTGTCTAATGACAGAGATGATGCAAATTAATGCATAATTGGCGCAATTGATAAAATTAGCAGAGAAAATTTATAGTATTACGCCAGTGTAGACTAATATAAAAGTTAGTATTTTATTAAACAATTATGAGTGTATTATAATTATAATCAAGAATATGGAGAATCCGAATACTTTTGTATAAATATATAATAAAATAAGTAATGACAATATGTCAAGTTTTAAGAGGTTAGAAAAGGGATCATTCTCTTATTTCACTGTTTTTTAAAAAGTGCATAATTTATAATTTATTTTTCGAAAGTGATAGAAGTTGCAAACACGAGATAGTATATTGATTAATGATTTATGATTTATGATTATAATTTATGAATTATATAAATT